AAGCAAACATTTTGTTAAAAAAAATCTTGCCTCTTTGTTGATTTTCTACTCAAACAATGCCAGTGTCATGTGTTTCAATGTGGGATAAAACTGTTTGATGATTCAGCCATGCACTTTACGCTCATGCAGGGGGAGGACAAAGCACCTTACCCTGCAATACAACAGCTCTGCAGTAAATACAAACTGTTAAGCACTTTATATTCAGTACTTGTTAACTAATGGAGGTGGTGATTGTACTCGACAGTTTGCTGTTTGCTATAAAGTGAATATCCTGTTAAGTGTGTTGCAGTCAGTGTTGGTGAGGGTCTATATAAGACAACTGCACTGTTTTGTTTACACGTACCTTTGCAGATACCAGAGCAGCAGTTGCATTACTGTAGGTTACTGTTCTAAAGCTACACAGGTGAGTCATAGTTAGTTAAATAACAACTGAACAGTATGTTTCAGCTCCAACAGATGTCTGAAGATTAGCATGTTTTCTAAATATATAAAACTTTCATACATTAAAAAAATACATACAACTTGAATATAATACATAGAATGAATTGTAGTGTAATAACACTCCCATCCGCACGGTGGCAGACATGACCGCTTAGACCAGTGAGGGGATCAACGGCAACATCCCCTTTTACAGAGGAGGCAGTATTCAGGTTTGAAACTGATCGTGGGTCAGATATCAGTGACGGCTATCAGCTGTTGTCCTTCGTTACAAGAGTTGAAGCCGATCCCAGATCAGCTGTGTCAAACACATGAGCTCTCTGAGGACGACGAGCACCGGCGACCAACCGCGAGACTAAAAAGATGTAGGTAACGTTACAGTGTGGTGAGAAACGACCAACAATGTCGGTTTCTGTAAACAGTAAACTTTATTTTCTAATTATCCAACAAATGTCAGTGAACTGCATGTTCGGTGAAAGCTGAAAGTGAGCACAGGAGCTAGCTAGCATGGAGGACCGCCTTCCAACTGTGACTTTAATAGTCTTACCTTAGATGGAAGTTGATGCTAAGACGAGAGGAGGGCTAATGGTTTCCACACTGTGGGTTAATCCTTCAGACTAACTTATATCAAATACATACGAGTGACAGACTATAGAGAACAAGAAGACATTCATATATTCACAGCCACCATAAAGCATTCATGTACAACCTGCAGCTACGAGACAGCCATGCCTTTATTAAACTGCTCACCCGCCTGTTAGCTTGTTATAAAGGTTATCTGGGAACTGTCCAGGAGCAAACATCAGTGAAAACAACGACGCTAACAAGCTGACAGTCGTATATAACGTAACTTATAGTGTCAATGCGTACAGTAACTTAACGTGATAGTACAGGACTGAAGCGGTTACAAAGAGTGTATGGACCAAGAGCATTACTGATCTCCATTCAGTAGAAATATTTTACACACACACACACACACATACAAACAGTTGTGTTTAAGATGGACTATAGACCAGGAATATTTATGTTGTCATACACAGCTAGTGTATGGAAACACGTAAGTTAAGTTAATAACGTACTATCGCAGCTTGTTAACCAGGAAGTAACTTCCGCCTTTGTCGTACTACTACTACTACTACTTCTACGCATGTGCGACTACAAAACACATTTTCACTCGTTTAAATTCCGCATTTGCTCTCACTGTGTGGAAAGAAAAGCGAACAATGTTCCCGAAAAAGAAATGTGATGATATTTAATGTAAAGATATTAGCATTAAATAAAGTTTTCGCTAAGGCGGGAACGTAAGGCGAGTACTCTCTTGATGCGTTTTATCTTTGTAGCGTTAAGCGCCGCCTTACGTTACAGTTTGAGCACATACGTGGACAAACAGCGTTATAATTAAGTCTTAAGAAAACAATGAACACAACTGATCCATCCAAACGTCACACAACCATCAGAAGTTGTATCGATGAGAAAATAGCATTTTAATAGCAGAAACCGTGTTCAAGAAGTAGAGGCGTGGCCAAGGCCCCATAATGCATTGCGTGCGTGCGGCGATTACCGAATATTAAACCATTTATTCTTGTATTGCGCTCAAAACTTCGCAGTGCAACTAGCAGACAATGTAAAGACTCTGTGTTTATGTCTGGTGCAATGTAATTATATGAATTGGTGTGTACTTATAAACGTGTATCCGTGCACCCTAACAGAAGGAGTTAGAGCGGAGAATGGGCTCCGGCTCTCACCCCTCTCACAGTCAGTACACTCTTGTTTCTCTTCAGATCGTATAAATCTTTCGCCTTTTACTAAAGATTTCCGTGGAGAGGAACAATAAGAGTTTCAACTAATTTTTTGATGCCCTGCTTTATTGCGGGGCTTCCTACTCTTGTGAAAAATAAACATTTTAGACTATAAGGAACTATGCCAAAGGGTACTATGATACTGGTATGAGTAGAGCGAGAGGGGGCCCGATCTAATCCCCCCAAGTTACTCAGTTTATCTTTTCCTTCTGAGAACAAGGGCTCCTCTGATGTGCTGGTTGACTTTAAATACACATCCTACTGAGCACTACAGAATGGATCAGGCTATTTACACCCACACATATACATATATATCCACTGTTTTCAAACTCAACAGTTAGTCTATGTCACATGTTCAAGGAACTGAACATTTTCACTAAACTTTGTAATGATGAAATGACACCGTTTGCTTGCTGGCCTCACAGTCAGTGCCTTGCTCAAGAGCCCTTTCGTAGAGCAGAAGTTCAAAAGGTCTTTTTGTAGTGTGGACATGTCACAGTAGGAAACGTTCAAGTGGAAATAATAACATTAATGATAGTTGATTTCCATTTAGCTGCACGCTTACTGGGACACTCCAACACAACAGAGCGATTGTTAATGTTATTAGAAAAACTGGTGTTTTTTTCAACTGTGATAAGCCAGAATATCTGCCGTGAAAAAGGCCCACGTCATTATCAAGTGAAATTATGCCGCTCTTGGTAAAAAAGATAATAATAATTCAGAGCCCTAGATATTGTTATAGTTTTCTCTGTTTTCTCCCTAAGATCACTCTAAACACCATAGAAACGAGAAAAATAAGTTCATTTCCTGCTTTTATTGTTGAGGCAGTCAGTATGTGTCAGTCATTATCTCAATACTGTGAAATGACATTGAACAGTCACTTTCTTTTTATCTTACGTGTGTTATTATCAGTGAGCAGCCAGTTTCCTGTTGCATCTTTGTAACATCCCTTTTTTTTTGGTCTGAATGTGAAATTGCATTGAGTAGGCAGTACCAAGTTCATAGCCGTTTGACAGCCGTCGGCTTCAGAATCTCTCTCTTGGTGAGTTAGTGTTTTTTATTTGTTGGTCAGGGTTTTTTTTGTTTGTTTTTTCTGTTTCTGCAAAACTAAAATGAAGCCCAGACTATTCGGACCACGGCAGCTTTTAAGAACATTTTAGACTTGCGTTGTCTTTTTTTTCCTTTAGGGATGGTGTAAAAATAGAAAATAGACAAACTCCTTAGTGCTTCTTCTCAACTTTAAGATGAATTCAACCCTGGCTTCTGCCTCTGTAAGAAGATTTTAAGCTCTAATAGAGGTTGAGAAAAAAAGCATTAACTGTCCTCGTAAACAGTCATTGACGCCTTATCGATGCATGACTTTAGGTGTCACATAACTGTCTCCTACCATGTGTTGGCTCATTTTGTGCTACAAATGACTAACTTTGGTAATTGGCACCATGGCCTAATAACAAGATATGAGAATATAACAGCGCAGTATGAATCCATCAGAGTTTACACTTTTGGGGAACGTTTTTATGCCGTAGAAAATCATGTAAATAGATATGAACAGAAGGCTTAAACTCACTTTAGCCTGAATAATTTGAAGATACATGCATCAGAAACAAATGTACTTAATTGAGAGGACTAAGTGTCTTCACTGTACTTCACTTGCAGCCTTTTCAACAAACTGTGGTAAGATGTGTTAGATAAAGGCCTACTTCCCCATTCGTTGCATGTTACATTATATGACTCTACAATAAATGCACACAAAGATCCATAGGAGACATCAGCTGAACCACATTCTGACAACTCAGGTATTTTATACCTACCACTGATGTGTTAGAAAGGTTTCATTTTCATCCTTTTCTTCTTACTAGACCCCAGCTTTCCATCTACAGTTTAATCCAGGTGCTTTCGGAATTACATGGAAAAAATACAGAAACATACAGTTTTTATTACTAAATGAGGCACCGTCTGTCCTCAATTTCTCAGTGTCCTCCTGTTGTAGTTACACTGGGAACAGAAAGCTGGAGCTGTGGAACCAGTCACAGTATGAAGGAAGCGACTGATGACTATATGTTCATATATTTCATACTACTTGAGGGGTGATTAAAAACTCTCCACAAACAGTACCTCGTGACACCCTATCTGCAGTCAGCGCCAACTCATGAGCAGAAGTCAGTGAATTCATTCTGCTGAGGCAAAGTCTGAACATATGCACACTCACACAAGCACATGGACACACTCCGCTAAAGCACGCTGTGTGAGAACATTTTTCTGTTAAGATGAGAGGTGTGACTTTTTTATTTGGAAACTGGTCTAAAGCTTGGTTGGGTGTTGGTGAATCAACACAGACAGACGTATCTGCCGCGCCACAGTGCAGAGTTGTACATGCAGACGCTCGGCCACACTAGCAGCCTCGTCCGGCTGTCAGTCATTACACACCAGAAAAATACGATCGATGGATGAAAATATTGAAGCGTGTTTGCGTAGGTCTTCATCAAGTGGTGCAAAGAATTAAAAGTTTGACTTGGCTCAACTTCTACTAGGCTCAGTTTAATGTTTGTTAGCTCAAAGGGAACTTAGTGTTAATTAATTCTACTTAACTGGTATTTGATTGATTCATTAAGTCGTTTTTTAAAGGGAAAAAAACCCCAAACATTCTGTAGTTCTAGCCTTTCAATCTTTGCTAATGACTGACTCACTGCTGAACACTGACCCCTTCCTCTGTATCCACTAATAAAGTGAGCGAGGCACACAACTAATCACTGTTACAGAAACAAGAGAGGCAGGCAGTAAAGGTTGCAGTGCAAATAGGGAGTACAGACAGATTAGAGAGAGATCAGCGCTCCAGCCTTATCCTCCTGCATGTTTCCTTTTATAGCTGTACTGAACTTAGGACTTACACATCTGATCCAAATATGCTGCCTTCCATGTGATCAAAGTCTGGTCCATCTGTGAGATTTGTTACAGAAGTGATCTCATCTCTTAGAGTGCATCTTTTTTTAATCAGACTTCCTGGCTCAGATTACCTGTTGTGTAATTCAGACTGTGATGTGAGCACAACAACGAAATTGAGGAACTGCATGTTGAAAACCTTTTCTAACATTTTACATTCAGCAGTAGGAGATGAATGAAGACTGACTGTAGTTAAACCCTGATCACCACAGGTCCGAACCATTAACCTCAACCAATTCCAAACCGGAGAGCGGAGATGAGCTGAACATTGATCTGCACCCCGTCTCAACGTCAGACTGTGAGAGGCAATGTGTTGAGAGAGTCAGTGAGATCTCGATATCGGATGTTAAAGAGAAGCTTCACACGGACTCTGAACAACCAAAGAAGATCCACGCAGTTCCGATCCACCGGCGTCCAGACCTGCTGGTTCCGTGCGCCGACCTGGTCAACTCTGAGTGGCAGAGGAGCCAGGCCGCCCGGGTTCACTCCCTCCAGAAGTCCTGTCCAGAGTTCCCCATCTGTCTGGTTCTCCTGCGAGGCCACAGAGAGACAGAGAAGCTGCTCGGCCACGCAAGGCTGTCCCGGGTCGTCGGTCACAGCAGCAGCCTGTTCGTCGAGTCCGTGGTCGTGTCCAAGGCGGAGCGAGGGAAGGGCTACGGCCGGACTCTGATGGAGGAGATTGAGCGCTACGCCAAAAGCAGAGGGTTCAAGCGCCTGTGCCTGACCACCCACGATAAGCAGCACTTCTACGCCCACATCGGCTATGTGCTGTCGACGCCGGTGCAGAACGCAGGCGCCATGGCGGCGTTTGTTCCCATGGAGATGCTTCTGAGGTTCTCCAGAATGCCCAGTGAAGAGGCGAGCACGCAGAAAGAAACACGGACAAAGATGGATGCTCAAGTACCAGAAGGGAGCAGAGACTCAGGAGGTGCTTTGAGCTCACCTCCACCTTCTAGTTTACCTCCACCTCCCCATCTTCCTTCCATCCCTCTTCCACCACCTCCTCCTCCTTCCATCCCTCCTCCTTCTCCTTCACTCCCTCCTCCACCACCTCCTCCTCCTTCCATCCCTCCTCCACCACCTCCTCCTCCTCCTTCCATCCCTCCTCCTTCTCCTTCACTCCCTCCTCCACCACCTCCTCCTCCATCCATCCCTCCTCCTTCTCCTTCACTCCCTCCTCCACCACCTCCTCCCCCTCAGTCTACAGGGCAGCTTGTAGTTCAGACTCTGACTGAAACTCCCTACAGAGACGCCAAAGGAGTTCCCATCTATTGGATGCAAAAAGACATTTGACGAACCCACAGTCAGATACAGTTGGGGGTTAATTTGCCCACATTCATGCAGATACGTATGTTTATGTGTTCACACATCAAAAGACCGAAACATACCGTATGTACTAAAGCACACACCATTAATGGTCCTTCAGACTCACAGAAGACGAGTAATGTAGGAGTGTGGAAAGCCTCAGAGAGAGACAGAAATGTTTTAATAAACCAAAGAAATAGAGGAAACACTGCTGCATTTACACATTCAGTCACTTTTGAGTGTCTCTCAAACACAGTCTGTAAATGCTTGTCTCTTGTATGAATTTGTGAATTGTCCCCCTTTCAAATGGATGTCTGAGCTTCACTGTGCAGAATGATGTTATGTGCAGAGTTTGGCACTTGGAGAATGACAGACATCGATCTGCTGAAGGAGGGAAAGTTTCTCTGCACACCTTAAATCTGATGGAGACATCTTGGTCCAGGATTGAAACTTTCTGAAATGAAAAATATTTGCATATTCGTAGTTTGTAGATTTTTGCAACGAGGGAGAAGGACTAAATGTAATTTCAAGAATTTTTAGATTGAATAGCAGACAAATTATTATTTAAAGTAAATGTCTGTCTAGAGGGGATATTTAAGGAGATTGTGACAAGGATGGCGTTGACTGTAAAAGCCTAGTAAATATAATTTGGAGTCAACTCAACCAGTTATATTACTTTGAGTACCTTTGCTCTTCAGAAATATTCCCACAACCCAATCTGCTGCTATTACATTATGTGAGGCTGTAATGTTAGAGTTGAGTGTGCCTTGTTGATCTGCCAGAGAACTGAAACTTTATTTAAGCTCTTAAGGTTTGTTATATTGATGAAAATAATGTATCTTATCAATCTGATACTTCAGTTATGAAAAATGATGTAAATAAAGAGAATTTAATGGAATATTCTTTTGACTTGTGTTTATTTTACTATAATATCCTGCTACAATCTTAAATGATCAAATATAAGCTGACATGTTGTTTGAATTATCTGAGAGTGCAAAGAACCAATTAATGGCTATTTTAATTGTGTGCATTTAATTTCCTATGACACCAGTCTGTATCCCAATGCAGAAAAGTTCCTCATCAATAAATCTCACCGGTCTATTTCTCTCTCCTGTCAGGAAGGACACATCAGTGGGTGAGCAGCCATGGTGCTGCCTCACCTCTTTACCCCCTTCCTCCTCTTCCTCCTCACCTTCCAAACTTCCACCCATGGTGTTGTCCTCTCCCACAGCCCCCTGCCTGCTGTGGCTGCAGCAGGTCCGATCCTGCAGGACCGGCCCTTCGTTGTGGTGTGGAACATGCCCACGGCACGGTGTCAGAAACGCTACAACATCCACCTGAACCTGGGAGACTTCGATATTTTGGAGAACCGAAAGCAACGCTTCCAGGGACAGGTGATTGATCTCAGTCGGTGAAGTACAGTGTCACCAGTGGAATGTAATACTTTACTGATCATAGTACAATATGAAAATATATTTAACATATATTTATTTCACCAAACATTTTCAAATTAATTTAATGGCCACATTATTTGATACATAATTATATTTTAACTGAGACAACACATTTAAAAGTGTATTATGTATTAAACAATATACTTTATTATTGTAATGCTGGTTACTATTAGCGTTAACTATAAACTTGATAGTTACTGTATTAAAATTACCTTTGGGTCGTGGGTAAAGCAAAAGCACAGGGACAATTTCCTCTCGGTTACTCGAGCCACTTGAATGTCCACTTTCACAGTAAGACAACTGAACACTACTTCATATCGCTCCGCCAATCTTAACCATCAGTAGCATTACAGGTAACCTGCACTTTATGTAGTTCCTCATCTACAGAACACAATGTGTTCATATATGTAGTTACCATTAATTAACTTATGCAAATTCAAAAAAACCTAATAAAGTAATCCACAAAAAAATCTTCATAAAATAAATGTTATATTATTTATAAAGTATATTTTGGAGAAATGGATTATGCAATTCTCTGTATTTAAAATGTATTCAGATGTGTTTCAGTTGTGTTAACTATTACAGATTTATTTGAGACTCAGATGTCAGAATCTGACACTGTCCATTTTCCATTTGTCCCAACATCCCTTCAGTATAAAGCTGCTTTCATTGATTTGAGCCAGAGGAAGAGTCACAGTGGTGTCCATCTCCGCCAGTGTAACATTATTCACTCTCCTTTTGCTTTCAGTTTCAGTAAAATATCTGTCTTTTTAGCCGCTAGCTCTTCTGCTACGTGCATCACTGTTTGATGCTGGGCAGGTCTCGTCAGTGGGTTTATCAGATCTTGTCTGCTGAATAAAGTTGCCTGTTAGAAACAGAGTTGGTGAGGATGCTCTGACCATAGCAGCCTTAAAACTGTAACAACAAGAGTTGCAGAATTTGGTAATATCTTCTATGGGCAAATGTTTTTCTAGAACATGACCATCTTCTACCGTGACCGCTTGGGGAAATATCCATACCTCTCCCGAGATGGCGTGAAGATGAACGGAGGGATACCGCAGCTTGGCGACCTCTCAGCTCACCTTTCCCTGGCACTGACGCAGATGTCCAGCTTGCTGCAGCCAAACTTCACCGGTTTAGCCGTTATTGACTGGGAAGAGTGGCGGCCATTGTGGGAGAGAAACTTTGGAACCAAGATGGAGTACCGGAGGCTTTCCAAGCTGCTGGTGAAACAGGCGAGACCGGATTTGTCAAACAAGGCCATGACATCGTTGGCAAGGCAAAAGTTTGAGGAGAGCGCTCGGAAGTTCATGGAGGAGACGCTGCGGTCGGCAGTCATGGATCGTCCCAGGGGACTCTGGGGGTTTTATGGTTTTCCTGCCTGCTTTAATAAGCATAAGAGAAAAACAGGTAGGGCAAACACCAACTGTGTGTTGAGCAGTTTGTGTATCTCTTAAAGTTTTGAGCTTTTGAGAAAGGTATTTGTACAGATTTGGTCTTTTCTTGTTTCATGTGTGTGATCAGACAAAAGCTACACAGGACGCTGCCACGGGGGGACCAAAAAGCAAAATGACCAGCTGTCCTGGCTCTGGTGGCAGTCCACCGCTCTCTATCCCAGTGTCTACCTGCCACAGAGGCTGGCAGGATCCATGGATGCAGCTCTGATGGTCAGGTACAGAGAAACAACACCTCCCCCGTTACCCACACTGCTTCCGTTGTAAAAACAGCCCACCAAACCTCTATTAAACAGTTATTTTTCCACAGTTGAACTACATGCTGGACACACAGGATGTAGAAGGTGTTACTGATGGACATTTCTGTCTCCTTGACTCAGACACAGGCTGCTGGAGGCTTTGAGAGTGGCATCAGTTTGGCACAATACCAAACACGCCACACCCGTCCTTCCCTACGCCAGACTAGCATTCACACACTCTCTAACCTTTCTTAATAAGGTGGGATTTGTTGCAGATCACTAAAGCATACACACTCATGCTAACACATACCAGTTTATTAGCCATTAAGCACAGACAAATATGCAATTCAAAATAACCATTGTGAGTGTTTGTGTGCAGACAGACCTGGTGCACACACTGGGGGAGAGTGCGGCGCTGGGAGCTGCTGGAGTGGTGCTGTGGGGAGAGCTGAAATTTGCCAAATCCAAGGTACGTAATGTTTGTGAGAGAGTCATTTATGTGCGTGTGTGTTTGTGTGTAACCCTCTCCCTTCCTCCTGCCCTCCAGGAACAGTGCATTCTTCTCAGAGACTACATACACACCGTCTTGGGTCCCTTCGTCCAGTCGCTGAGGTCTGACACTCAACGCTGCAGCCTCCAGCTTTGCCAAGGCAATGGCCGCTGCGCCAGGCGACGCCCCAGCTCTGGTCACATGCTCTCCTCGGTTCCGGTTATGACCTCTGACCCCAATGAAATCAACCTCCTACCTGACGCCTCCCGTGGGAAATCTTTCCACAACCACTTCATGTGTCTGTGCTACCCAGGCTGGACTGGGCAGGAGTGTCAAGAGAAGAAGAAGAAAGAAAACATATAGAAAGACAAGTAACTTAAACCTTTCTATCAAGGTGCCATCAGTCAGCGTTAATAGAACACCAATGAGACTTGTATGAGACAATGTAGACTTAATGAATTGACAACTCCTTGAAATAATTTTAAAATAAATTAGAATAAATGTAAATTTATCAGTGTTTATTTAGCATGTTTTTAAAAGGGGTGAAATTACAAAAAAAATTTGAATGAAGTGCAAACACGTCTCAGTTTAAGTATTACTTATTTAGATATTCTCCAGCACTTTCTTTTCTTCATTTCTTCAATAGTTAAAAGATCCCTGTGTGTTTCCATTATAGAGGTGAAGTAGTTATACTTTAAAGGTCCAGTGTGTAGGATTCAGTGGCATCCAGTGGTGAAGTTGCAGATTGCAACCAACTGAATACAGCTCACCTTCCAAGTGTGTAGGAGAAACTGTGGTGGCACATGGTGGACATAACATCTGAGTGAAAATCAGCTTCAACCTATCTGCTAGATGTGATTCTTTTTTACTCTTTAGTAAAATATTTAACAAAATTACACCCTGTTTAAACTGTCAAGTAACGGATAATTATATATTTAGTATGCTAAAATTGGTGGTTGAATTCATCATCCTTGGCTTAATGTAACCTTTTTTCTCAACAAAGAGCAAAACAAGAATACAAAGGTTAACAGATACATTGAAAAACAGTATTGTCTTTGTTATCCATTTAATAAATTGTATTTGTGTGTTTGTCTACCACATTTTGATTGTGCTGCTCCATGTGTGATACACACTTATTCACACAACATGACTGACAGCACAGAGACGGCTGGTAGACCTTACTACTGTGTCATTTAAACACTTTGTGTGACACTTTAAATTGTTTTGAGCAACAATGCTGAATAATCAGTTTGCTACAGACATTAAATGTGTATTATGCGATGCGCCATCATTCAAAAGTCCTTTTCATTTAGTGACCTGGCAGGAAAGAGTGGAACGGTTCTCAGAAACCTCCCATCCCTTAACGTGGTTCCATCACTTACATTCAATCTGAAACACTGAAAACATTTAGGAAACATTTTGATGATGGTTCCTCTTCAAGGAAAAATCCAGTGTAAAATAAAGTTTTGCTTTACTTCAAAGCATCTCACGTCCAATATTACAGGTGTATCTGTGTATGTATAGATTTGTATGTTTATTTATACATATGTTCCTCATGTCCCTCCTCTCGTGGCTGTCAGGTTGCGTCTCAGTGCCTGCAGTTCTTGGATCAGCAGTGACAGCTCTGTGGCTGCAGCCTCTTTCTCCTTCAGTGCCTCAGTCAGCATCCTGACTGCGCCGCCCTGCTGGACTGGAGGAGGAACAGAAACAAAACTATATTGTCCGTTTGTCCATCTGGGGTTATGCAGAGAAACATTCCCTGTTGTTAGATTTCCAGACATGTTTGAAAATGTTCTAATGATGACATGGCCTAGCTTTAAGTATAAATATAAATGGAAAATTGCAAATAACATGATAAATGTAAAGAGATTTAAGGAAATAATCAAGGCAAAGTGAAGTTCATAGATCCAGGAAATATAAAATATCCAGAAAGTATCAAAGCAAACATGAAAATGAATGAATATGATCTCTCACCCAGAAAGTAGAAGATGAGTAACACAGTTAGCAGCAGCAAAGTGATAATGGCACAGCCCATGGCATAGGCACGTGATGAACTGGGTGTCAGCATATCCTGTAGACGGCTCTGCCATTTGCTGCTGACTGGATGGCCTCCTTGATTGACAGCTGTCACATCACATGTGTAGAGATTCCCATTTGGGGAGGGTGTGTAAGCAGGTCGAGGAGGCCTCATCACTGAAATCATACACAGTCAGTCAGTGTCAATGTGTGTGTACCTTTTTGGCTGTGTTTGGAGGGTGTTTGTGTGTGTACCATTGTGTTTGTATTTTTGTATTTTGTGTGTGTGTCCCTTTTTTGGCAATGTTTGTTTGTGTGTAACTTTGCTTCTGTGTTCAGGGTGTGTGTGTGTGTGTGTGTGTGTGTGTGTGTATATATATATACCTTTTTGGCTATATTTGGGGAGGGGGTGTACCTTTTGGTGTGTTTGGCATGTATCTGTATGTCCATACTTGCCTATGTTTGGAGGGTGTGTGTGTACCTTTGCGTCTGTGTTCAGGTGGGTGTGTGTCTGTTGTGGCTGTGTTGGGGGTATTTGTGTGTGTGTGTGTGTGTGTGTGTGTGTGTGTGTGTGTGTGTGTGTGTGTGTGTGTGTGTGTGTACCTTTGTGGCTGTGTTCGTGGTGCGTTCGGTGGAGGTCGTTGATGGAGTCCACAGAATGCAGCTCAATCTCGGTGAGATCCCTGTCGCTGACCCTGTGGAACTGAGGGGTGGTCTGGGAGGAAGGAGGCCTCGACATCTCGTCTCCTCTTGAGGGATGAATAGTTAGTTTGACTGCTAGATGGTTCAAGACGACGCTCCACTTGTCAGCACCTTCTTTCCAGTGAATATAGCCACAGTATCGGCTTCCGGAGGCCGCACGAGGCAACTTAAAGAAAGAAGTTTGTGTCAGCAAACAGCACATTGCACAGCCATGTTTACCAACCAGACTGGTCTGTCATTGAAAGTATATCGAGAAATGCAAATGATCTATAAATGGATTCACAAAATATTTCCAACAATGATTAGTTTATAAGCAAGTCCTCACAAAAACTTCTCTCTGAATAATTTAAATGACTATAGAGATTGACTAACAATCTTCTTGCTTAATGGGAGACACTGGCAGCTACTTTGCATCTGCACTGTTGTTATTTACTCGCCCTACATTGGTAAATGGAGTTGTTTGTTCTTTTGGGATCTTTAGTGTCATATAAATCTCAAATATCAATATCAATTGGTTTAATTAATAGAGATGAGGTTATGGTGGGTGGCCTCTGAGAGTGGAAGAGAAAGCAGGGAATGGATTAGAAGTTATTCCGTAGTTTGAATAAAAATAGAGCGGTAGGTTGGCATGTAGCATATGTGAGGACAAGAAAACAGATCATCTTGGTTTCTATTTGAAGACAAAACAAACAGGCCACATGAGCGGCTAATTTATCAGAACTATTAATAGAGCTTGTTGTCAAATCCATAATGGCACAATGTTGCTGGAATTTGAATCAAAGGCCAAAGGACAGGACAGGCTCCAATATAATGACTAACTGAATGAATGAATGGATGATTAAATGGATTACACTGTGTGAACACACTGTGCTGCCAGACCAGATCAATTTTATTGGACAAAACAGGTCTGAGAAATACTGTTCTGTTCTTCTCTTCCCACTCACCCTTTGTCAGCATGTGCGTGCCTGCTTGTTTGTTCTTGTCTATCTGTTGCTCTTCTTGTTCACCCAGTCTCCTCACACTCAGACATCCGTTTGCCAAAACATGTGTCTGCACCCACAGGAGCAGCGATGAGGAATGACATTAAATATCCACAAAGGTCATCCAGGAGCCACGCAGCCACAAAAGTAATCCAACAGAACTGAAATCCAATCCCAACAGTGAATAAGTGATTCAAGTAAAATCCTTGATGTGTGAAAACAAAAGAGAACCTCCAGGTTTAGCCTCAGGGTCCTACTCCTCCTCGTGAGTGTGTCTGTGTGTCACTGAGCAACTGTAGGACGCTCCAGCGCCACCCCCTCTTACTAAGTATGTTTGTGTGCGTCCATGTTCTGATTTAGCCCACCCTAACTGCCCTGTGAGAGAGCTAGAGACATGGAGAGGGAGAGGAAGTCTTTTCAGCCCTGTCACTCCCCTCCAATCATGCTCACACAAATGCCCAACCCTGCTGGCCCTCAAGGCCTAAAATAGCAGCAGAGACATGGGGGTATTATTAGTTTCTCAGGCCAAAGGATGACTCAATGATCTGGGTGGAGGGCATGATGAGCTACAGAGGGATAAACACACACACAAATACTCACATGGACAAATGTCAATGGGTACACAGTCGGGTGGGAAACTCAACACTGTTTTCTGAATAACGGACAGATTTCAGTAGGATGAGTCCAAACACTTAGACATATAATTTCCAATTTATTAACATGCAGTTAGAAGCGTGTGAGGATCCTTTTGGCTCAGCAATCTAAGGCACAGGCAGTTCAACAGGTTTTCTTTCTCTTTTTCCTGTTGACCCATTGGTAGCCATTGCCCTTAAAAGGAGAACAACATTAGGATGGGGTTTTTATCATTTAAGAACCATTGTATATAATTAGAAAGTCTATTATGCATTAATTACTACAGTAATTACTAAATGGGTATAAAACATGTACGCCCTGTTACTTAATCCTATCCATCAGGACTTGGAGCCCATCTCAGCAACCTTTGGGAGACAATCTGCTTATATCTGAATGCATTTGATGTTTCTCACATCTGCTATATTTCACAGGATGTTGTAATTTTGTTAAGCCAGCTGTCACTTCATATTTTATATTTATATATATATATATTTTAGCTGTGCTTTTTTGACTTCCAGATGTTGTGTCCTATTATGGTTCAACTGCTCGGTGCTGAATTGTAAACCTGGTCAATGTTTTGCAGAAGCTGGTTTGATCCTGACAGTCATAAGCCATATTACACTAGCAGCAACAAACCCACACATAAACCAAAAAGTTGGAAAATGTTATTATCTGATCCACATTGAAGAGTTCAGCTTCCTAAAGCATGTATAGTCTACTACACTATAGGCAGCTGTACTCTATGACTCTGGGGCTGGGACAGAAAACCAATCAGCATTTCTTCAACCGGCGAACCCCTGCAGAGCTGATGAACTAATCAACTACATTTCCCACAAGTCTTTGCTCTTCCCTTCCATCGCCGCTCATGTGTTTTTGCCAGGAAAGCAAAAATTCCCGAGAGTGGAGTCCAAAGAGTTTAGAAACACAGCGGAAGTGTTACCCCTCAGGAGTGTGTGTGTGTGAGTGTGTGTGTTTGAGAGAGAGAGAGAGAGAGAGAGAGAGAGAGAGAGAGAGAGAGAGAGAGAGAGAGACTTCAGGTTGCATGATGTGGGCTCGGTTGCTGGTTGGGGTCGGGGTCGGGGGTTCCGGGCTCGGGCTGCGGGCTTCCAGGGACGGTGTGCTGCGGGTCGCTGGAGCTGGATGTGCGGGGAGGCAGCAGCAGCAGAGGCAGGCGTCAAGTGCGGAGGTGAGCGGGGCATGAAGTGTGGCTGCGCGGTAAACTTGTGTCGCTGCAAGGGATCCAAAGGCATTTTGCAACAGTTTTGGTGAAAGCAGCGTAAACACAGTGTTTGTACTGGAGGTCGATGAAACCACAGTGTATTCTCTGTGGAGACTTTGTGTCTGTGGCACATTGAAGTTTTCAACAACCTCACCTTTACAGTTTTCATCTCTCATATAGCTCTGTGATTATCTTACAGCAGTGTGGCCCACTAGTGAGTTTATATTGACATTATCCTACTTTATGGTGTCCTATAATAAGATATGACTGTAAAAGTCAAATAATATTCTTTTTAAATCAAGGTTTTAGATGTATATTATATGTTAACTGTACTCAGTGGTGTGTTTAATGTGAAGTAAACCTTTGTTTTATGCCAGATTTTTTATTTCCTGGGTTGTATTTGAAGTTCTGGTAGAAATCATAGTTTATAGGCTACAGTAGGTGTTTTTGGCCATCATATTTGAACTCCAGAATAAATCACTGGCTCTATCAGTGTTACTGCATATTCCAACAGTAACATCAGAGTGTGTCACAGCAGCAGGCAGTTCATGCAGACATAATGTGCATCTGTCCCAGCAGACTGCCATCCTCCCGCCCGCTGCCTGCTTCACTTCACTGAGCTGCACAAGATGATTTTATTAAAACCACGAGTGACTGACTCTACAGTGCTGTCAGCCCTCTCTCAGCCTCTGCTTACTTCAAAGTGTGACCTTACCCAGATTCGTTCATTCAGTCAAAGGTTATGAATGAATTAAAATAGCAGACCTAATTTATTAGTCCAGTGAGATAAAGTCTGTCTGTAGGAATCCATAAGCCCCTTATAATGTATCTGATTTATCTTTGAGTGTTGCACAAAGCAAAGGGGCTAGAAAGACTAAAGTCCTAATGCTCTAATCTGTAGTAGTTTATTAAGTGTAAGTGTGTGTCCATCTGTGTGTATGTGTGTACAAATTACAACCAGAGAACAACCATCTCTGCTCTGTTCATTCCAATTAATAGCTGACTTTGGACTTGAACTGTTTTGTAAAAAGCAATTGAGTCTTATGTAAAGTGCCGACACACTCTGTCCCATAATGCTTTTCTACTCCTGTGCTGATAAGCCCCCTCCACTGGTGGGTTTAAAGGTCAGAAGTTAGGGCAGGAAAAACAATCGACAAGCAGAAACAGAGCTGCATATTCAACAATGATGTGTTAATCTGTCCAATATACAGTTTAGTTAAGGGCTTTTTAAATGTGCTTGTTTTAGTATATTTATCTTCTCTGGAAGTGGTTGCATTGTTGTTATTACACTAATTGTACCACTAAAAGTGGTTTATAATTTAGTTTTATGATTAATACATCAAAATTAAACTGTGGTTCTTGTGTTTCTATGTATATGTGTCTTATTTCCTGCAGGCTGCCTTGAAGAAAACCCCGCTGTTTGACTTCCACAGGGAGCAGGGGGGAAAGATGGTGGAGTTTGCGGGCTGGAGTATGCCTGTCCAGTATAAAGACAGTCACATCGCCACGCACATGCACACCAGAGAGCACTGCTCCATTTTCGACGTCAGCCACATGCTGCAGGTGAAACGCACAAATACATACAACATGAGCACAGGTAAACAAATACGTGTGTACAAACTTCCAGTCACAGACACACGTTGTCATAGTAAAACACAGTCCTTTGTCAGTTAACAGGGGTTAACTAGGTTTGTTTTGACATTCCACGAAAGAACCCACCAGAAATAAAACTGCCATTTCTATGTTGAAATACTTCCTTTTTGCTTTTTTTCTGTCAGACCAAAGTCCATGGCAAAGACAGGGTGAAGTTCATGGAGTCTCTAGTAGTTGCAGATATTGCAGAACTCAAGGACAACCAGGTGAGATGAAGGATTGTTATATGTTAAACCTGCAATAACTGAGTTTTTTGTCCACAGTAGAAACAAATTGTAACACAGCACTGACATATCATCACCTTTTAAGTTGATGTTAGCAAACAGTTGGGTATTTACACATCCAGCAGATATGAGCAACATTATCATCAAGTTTCTTGCCATCTTATGAAAGCAAGTCCAGTATTAACCCCTTTTTATAGGACTGTCTCCACCACCTCCTGAGGAAAAAATCTGACTCTTCCGGCACTAAATGTTGTTTGGTGCTGAGCAGATAGTGTAGAGTGGAGTTGTAGCTGAAAACAGAGGTCACATCTTAAAACAAAGCTGATAAAAATGTTGTAGTAAAGTGGCAGGCCTGAAGGCCACAACAGTGAGCTTAAAGACTATAAAATGAGGGGAACTGCAAAGTCGGGTGAAAATTCTCAGTGGTTCCGTCACTATGAGCGATCCCTTTCACATACCAGTAGCGATGCGACCCATTTTTAATGTAAAATATTAATTATGGCTGCTTTAAAGGAGAAGAGAGTGCATGTAAGAACATATTATTCTATAACACTGACTGTGTTTATGTTAAAAAAAAACAGTGTGACATTTCAGGGGCCACCTCCATGTACTTCCACATTACAAGACACTACATGTGCTAATGGGTCAAAAAGGCCCGTCTCAATCAAAGCATCAAACAACTGCAGTAGAGAAATGTGACTTCTGTCTGACTACAGTCTTGTCTTAGACTAGATTGTTCTCAAAAGGCCCCACTGCCATCCTGAATGCATTTAGATTTGTCCACTTGTGTCCACTTGATTTCCCCCAAAAAATACCTAGATTTTTAAAAAGGAGTACCATATTTTAAACTGATTTTGGATAATATCCAAGTGAAAATCCATCCAAAAAGTTGTTGGTTTTTCTGCTACAAGAAGACTTAATGAAACAATCTCCTTTAGTGGGAAGGACAACTCAGAATATGCTTCATGGAGTGATGAGGAAATGGGGAGATATGGGTTAGAACTACAAAATGTTATTTTTATGACTCAGTTAACACATGATGGATTTTGGAAAGTTGTTTATTTAAAATAAATACTGATTATTGTTCTAAACAAACAAATGAGCCCTTTGATTGGACCACCTGAGCCATAACATAACGGTTACATGTTCATGTGGAGCATCAGAGTTTTTGGAGTAATTTGACCAACCGAACAGTGTCCCAAATACATATCCTCCGTTTACCTTCAAATCCTCACCCATTCCTTTTCTCTCCCCTCCCTCACCCCCCCAGGGTACACTGACTCTATTCACCAATGAGAAAGGAGGAATTATTGATGACCTCATAGTGACAAGGACTGACCAGGGCTACCTCTATGTCGTCTCCAACGCTGGCTGTGCTGACAAGGACTCGGCTCGTATGAAGGTAAATACAGAGTGTGTGTGTGTAGACAGACAGGTGGGGAGTGTCTGTCTGACTGACAGAAAGTGTCTGATGTGTGTGTGTGTGTGTGTGTGTGTGTGTGTGTGTGTGTGTTTACCTGTAGGCCAGACTGGCAGAGTACAAAGCTGCAGGGTTTGATGTGGATTTGGAATTCCTTGATGAAGCGCTGATTGCTGTGCAAGGTAAAGTATTCTTCCTCTTCCTTTCTTTTTTCCTTTCCCTGACCTGATTCTTTTGTTCTTTCCTTCCTTCCCTTTCTCTCTTGTCCTCGTTCCCTCCTTCTTCTGTTTCTGTCTTATTTCCTCCTCTTCCTTTACCTCTTTTTCCTCCTGTTCATCATTCTTTGTCTTTCTTCTTTCATTCATTCACCCCTCCCCTCCATTCTACGTCCTCCCTCCAACTCTTCTGTCTTCTTTCTATTTAATTTCTCTCTTTCCCCAGTTTCTGTTCCATTATTTGAGCCCAGTTATTTTCACTCTTTCCTTACAGAATCTATAGTAAATTGGCTATTTGAACTCCTCTGTGTAGGACTCTCTATGTCTTAGGTTATGTAGATTATTTATCAGCTGTGTTGTGTGTTGTCAGGTCCATCCATGTCTCAGGTGCTCCAGGAGGGACTGAAGGAAGACCTCAGTAAGCTGACCTTCATGACCTCCGCCTTGGCCACTGTCTTTGGTGTTCCTGGTTGCAGGGTCACCCGCTGCGGATACACTGGAGAGGACGGGGTGGAGGTCAGCATCTCTCTCTCTCTCTCTCTCTCTCTCTCTCTCTCTCTCTCTCTCCCTTTTGCTTCCTTCCTCCACTTTTTTTGCTTTCCCGACAGCAAGCTTAAAGAAAAATAAAAATGTATTTAAGCTGCCACTTTCACCCATTTGTGGCAAAATCTAATTTATAGTGTATGTCACTGCATATTTAGAAAGTGGTTATACCCAGTAGACAATTTGTTAATTTTTAACAGGAGGGGATACCCCTATGGGAGCATCCCAGGGTTGAGATATCCTTTTCAGTAACCTGTTATATAAGCTATATAGTTTAGAGAATATTATAGATCCGAGACAGAAGATCACAATTACAAATCCATCTGTTACTTCAACAGCATGGACAGCAGCATGGATTATACACAATACACAGCACAGTTAGGCTACTGATTGCACAAAATTGAATAATTCTCAATAATTTAGGTCTGGGTTGGAATAGGACGGTGCCTGGGTCCCGACCTGGGCCACTGACTGCCTATTAGAGACCTTGTTACTAGGAGATGGAGAGGGGGGATGGCAGGTTAACAAGGGTGATGCATTTTAGTCATTTTCCTAACAAGGGGGGTGGTATCCCATTCACCCTCCCTCAAATAAGGTCTTTGAACCTCATGGTGGCACTAGAGTAAAAGTCACAGGATCACCAAAACCATTAGGATTCATTCTTTGGCCACCGTAAAGTTCTTGAGAAAATGTCAAAGCAATGTGTCCAATCATTTTGGAGATATTTCAGTCTGGACCAGAGTGGTAGACCCAACAACAGACGGACAGAACGACAGACAGACATTGCCATCCACAGAGCCAGGCTGCTATAATGGCTAATAAAAGATGATTGTGTACTCACCACTTTCCCTCCTCCTGCCAGGAATCACTGTATGAAAACAAGCAGAAAAAGTTAAATTTTTCTTTCTAGTATTTTGCCACCTGAACATTTTTCCCTCATTAAACATGGTAATATTTTGATGTTTACACTTTTAAATGCTCTCCAAATATTCTCTGTTTGCAAGGATTCCAGATTAATGGTTTACTAGTTACTACATGGATTTATCTCTTTCTCTCTATCAGCCAACTCTGCTGGAGCTCTGTAGATAGCAGGATGGATGTGGGTGGGTCTCTCTCTGACAGAGGGAATGTGGGAGTTTGTGTCTCTTTGTTTGACTTTTTCTTTCACATAATTTCTTTCCATCAATCTTTCCCTCAGTGCTAAGACTCACAAAAATAGACTGACTATACAGCATGTAATTAGTTGTTTCCCTCATCTTTTTAATTCTAATATATTTTGGAGCACCTAAAATAAATATCCCCCTCATCAAACTATGTCTTTTTTTTCAGTATTGCTGAGTTACAATATTTATATTTAATGTTCAATATTCATTCCGGTGAAAAGCTCTACATGCTGTCTTTGTCTCTGTGTCCCAGATCTCCGTCCCACAGTCCAGAGTGGTGGAGCTGACAGAGAAGCTGTTGGCTAACGGTGAGGTGAAGCTGGCTGGTTTGGGCGCCAGGGACAGTCTGCGGCTGGAGGCAGGGCTTTGTCTCTATGGCAACGACATAGATGAGACCACCACGCCTGTGGAGGCCACCCTAGTCTGGACCATAGGTTAGATTTTAGTCTTCATATATTTTTATTAAATGTTATTTTTCCAACCAGATTATTTTTTGAAGAAGACTGTGGTGGAACGGGTGATTTTTAAGACATGTCTTTCCTTTTTATCTATATCTTTTGTCAAACAGAGTTAGTTCACGTCTGTAGGGTAATTATGTAGCTGGAGCCAGCTGCCAATTAGCTTAGCTTAGCATAAAGACTGGGAGCAGAGGGAAACAGCTAGCCTGGGTCTGTCCAAAGGTAACATAATCAGTGTACCAGCAGTGATGAAGCTCACTATGAACCTTTTGTAACAATTTGTTGTGTGTGCCACAATATACTATTTGGCTGGGACCAGTTACAGGGCGTCCAGTGGAGACCAGCCAAGAAATGCTCTGGCACATAGCCCGCTGTAAAATGGAAAATTGTTGATTAAACTCTTAGCCTGTAGTGATGAATCTATGGAGCATTAAAACTTGACACTGCAGCTCCCCTCGTCTTTATAGTGCTTTATAGTGAGACCGACTAGTTAATGACTAGCTAGTGAACGCAGAGAAGATATAGATAAAGATTTTTCCCTCAGGAGTTGGTAGAGACTAAAAGAGAGTGAATATTGGACTTACATTCAGCAGGTGGCAGAAACATGACTCTAAGTGAATGATAATGTTGCTGGATGTGTAAATAAGCAACTGTTTGCTAACAAGTTTGCTATATTAAGTTAAAAGGTGATGATATATGTTGACTTACTCGTGTTTGGAAGTGAGCTTAGTGTCATCTTGCCTTTGTACCTTTACTCTCTGTTGCATTCAGGTGTAAAGATGAGGACCAGTGTAATTTTTGATCATTCAACAAATGTTTCTGCATGTTGTTGTGTCTCTCTGTGCCTGAGCTTTTACAGCGCAGTCTTTTCCGTGTATGACCTCCATTGCTTTGTCTTTTCACACACAGGAAAGCGTCGGCGTCAGACCAAGGATTTCCCCGGCGCTGACATCATCGTACCTCAGATAAAAGCCAAGACAGCCAGGAAGAGAGTCGGTCTGGTCTCCACCGGCCCCCCCGTCAGACAACACACACCCATACTTGGGCCTGATGGAAAGGTCATAGGTCAGTAAGCAAACAGGAGAGAGCTGTGATACTTCGTATAATGCAATACACAACCACTGAAATACTATTTGTGTTTCTCAACCAAATTAGCTCTGGTTCTGTTCAAGATTTGGAACCTTGGTGCTAGCTATCAAATCCCGCGTTTCCAACAGTTTTGAGCGAAATCATTGTAATCAAGGATGCGTCATCAACAGAGGGTGTTGCACAATGCAATACGACATGCCCACTTTGGTTCTACCTGTGAACCAACTTCTCGTTTTCCAAACCAATTTTCGGTCGAAATGCTCCAAACTGTTCATAACTAGGTGCTTGAACCGGAATGGAGCCGGTTCTCTGTTCTTTCATGGTACCACCACTGGGGGTTGCCAAAGTCACACATTTTCAAATCCTGCACATTGTTTGTTTGACATTATATATTACATTAGCATATTAATGTCATTAATCCCAGTTCTATTAACTCTATGTTTTGGTTTTTATATCAATATTGAAGAAAATTCTCATGATTTTAAAGTATATTGCCACTCCCAGTATTTAGTGATTGAATGAAGGAATGAGTGAATGAATGTAATGTGTAAACAGCCAAAAACCGAGTAGATAAACAAGTCTCTGTGCCGATCAGGAAGTAAATCTGAAGCACAGAATAGGATAAAAAATATTTCTACCATAAGGTTTTAATCTGGCTTGCTATGTATTTGTTCTCTGAAAAGGGAGTCAGAAAGAGATTTAAATTGAAAGACTTATCCTTTGATATTTTTTTAGGTGAAGTGACCAGCGGCTGTCCCTCTCCCTGCCTGAAAAAGAACGTCGCCATGGGTTACGTGGATGCGGCATTCGCTAAGAACGGAACAGCCATCCAGGTCGAGGTCAGGAAAAAAGCAGTGCCCGCCATCGTCAGCAAGATGCCCTTCGTCCCCACCAACTATTATTCTGGATAGGAGGGACACACACACACACACACACACACACACACACACACACACACACACAAACACACGGTACATACACTTAAACTGGACCATTCCTTCACTCTGTCCCACAAATGCTGCCCTCTTCTGTTTATCTCCAGCTATGCAGTTCATTGAGAGAAAATATTACAAATATATATATAATACAGTGTGTGTGCTGGTCTAATGTGATTAGTCACTTTCATAGTGAAGCACATTAAATGAATAAGAGTTTGTATTAGAGACACTAAAGAAGAAACGCATGGTACAGTTCCTTAGTATACACATAGATTTTGTGGAGAACATTTTAAACTGGAGGCTATCACTCTGCAGACAGCATGCTACTGTTCTTGTGTGTGTTTAAGCAACGCACTGTCCAGTAACTAAGTGGAGTCTGAGAATGTATGTATGATAGTATGGGCATAGATGCTCTGGTAACAAAGTTTTTTAATTTTTTTTTTTTTAATAAGTGGATAGCAGGTTAAACTGAACCAGCAGTGAGACTGTGTGGATCCAATACACAAGTATTTAATTAACTTCTTGTTTTAGAATATAGGTTTTGCTAATGAAACATGACAGCATTTACTTTGTCATCGCTGGACCAAAACAAAGAGATTCCAAATGGTTCTTTTGATGTTATTTCACTACATGTCTGCAGTTTTTCTTTCAAATACCACAGAGCCAAATGTCCATTCATTTTATTGTTAGTTGTAAACAGCTTAGTGAAGGGAGGTCAAACAGGACCAGCTCATAATCCTTCCAACACAAAACCCCCACCTGAAATATGCCAATTAACATAAACCTGCCAGTTCAGTTTGTGGAATTAGCATTTTTTGTGTTAATTAGCAGATGTTCTCATCAAGTTCCTGTTTGGAGGGATTTTGAGGGAGTTCTGGTTCGCTCTGTTGATATGGTCGATAACCTGACCAGATTGTTTCTCAGACTGTCTATAATGTAATAATATATTAAACCAGAGGGAGAAATGTACACTACATAAGTTAGAATGATAACCTAACTTGAAAATAGGTTCATTGTCATTATGTCTGTTCTGTCTGGCAACTAATGAAATTTAATTTCTGTATTAAACTAGAACATTGTCTTTGGACTGTCTGTGCAGCTCTGAATGTCTTGTTTCATGAAAATAATAACATGCTTAATAATACTACTGATTTATAGGTTGTCAGTTTTTGCCAACTCTGTCTTGAAGGTGCACTTTGTGTGTCACTGTGGATTTTAATCTGTAACTGAGTTTTCATGTACATTTAAAATAACATTGTTCATTTGATTAGAAAATATTTTCTTTATTAAAGACAATTTCATTTTCTTTTTCCCATGATCTGCTGTTATTTTTAGATTGATACTGACAATGATGTGAAAATAAGATTGCATAAATGTTTTCAATACAAGTCATGCCTCACGTAATTTTGGCTCCTAAACAAGGGTCTGGAGGGGTCCTGAGATAGGGAACAAGATTAGGTCCACTTGCAGAAAAATAACAAGAAAAAGCCTAAATTCTTCCTCTTTTGTCCAAAAATTAAACTTATGGCACATGTGGCGTTGGATAGAACAATGTCTGTTTTAAAATGATTTGGACAAAAAAAGCCCACTGATTTCTATTTAAAAAATAAAAATCAATCTCAAACTGTTTTAATTTGGAGAATTATCTATTTGTTTAACAGTAGTTGTTACTGTATTTCCACTATATTGGCTTTTTCTCATAAGTCTGACTTTGTTCATTAAAATGTTACCGTCCCATAGATTTATATTACGGTAATCAATTAATCATAGATATGACGTAAGTTTAAAAACAAGTCAGAGGTTTATATTTACTGTAAATGGTCAGAGGTTGCTTTTAGACATACCCGGAAACGGGGGATTGTAACAGAACCTGGCAACCCCGGCTGCCGGTCTGTTCACTGGTTACTGAGAGGAAGATGGTGGACTTGACGACAGCAGCGTGCTCAAAACTCCGTCCTAAACACTTTGGAAAATACTTATTATCTCAACCTGGTATTAGATATAGATTACCTGGGGACAATTATAGATAATACACAGTGAAACCCGCCGAGGAGAGTGACTTTTTACCACCGGACAACTCTTTATTCCGAGACTGAAGAAAGCGGGGAGTTGTGCAGCGTGGTGGTGGCTGGTGCTCGTGAAGGACGCTAGCCAACGTTAGCCAAAGTGTAAACAAGAAGTGTGAAAGAAAGTGGAATTGTGGGAGCTTCTCACCAGAGCTGGCGAGATAAACCACGGAGACCATCCAGCCCTCTGCTGCTACTGCCTTCTCACCCACTGTCATATCTGTGAGGAGCGGACTGACTTGACAGGTGGACTGAAAAGCAGGCTAACTGTAGCTAGCTAACCTCGGCTAGCTTTGTTGTGAACTGTGGATCAGAGCACCACTCGAAATGCCACGGAGTAAAAAGGGGAAACGTGGCTACAGCAAGCCGGGTAAGTAGCAGTAGCTGCCATGATAACTCACCATCCAGCCTCTGGCAACAAACCAGCTGGGATGTAATGAGTGAATATGATCAAAGTGTTTAAACGCTACACCTTTAGCGTAACGCCAGTGTGGCTGTAGCAGTGAGTACCTATACCGTATACCGTGAATCATAATGCAGCGAGACTGCTGGTTGCTCCTAACTTTAGTTACTCGACCTGTAAATTGTTCTGCTGACTGCCATGTACAGCCATGTGGTTTATAATTGGTGCTGCAGTGTAGCAGTGTAGTTTGCATGTGTTTGTGACCTGTTATGTTGCAGTCACTCATTTGAATGAGTTTAACTATACACGTGAAGAATCAGTGAAGGCAGTGTGGTTACTTTTATTAATAGTATTTCTCATTCAGGACCCTGGCTTGCTAAAGCTGCACTTTAAGGTTATTTTTAGCAGCAGCGTCATGCAACTTGCAACAGGTAGATGAAGACTGTGTTGAAGAGGAACAAACTAGTGCGACAGAGTATTTTGGTACAATTACAATTAAACTAAGTTCATTTACATGCTGCTTGGGAGTCACAACTCCACGTTTTTATCAATGCACAGTAGTGGTGTGGACCATGCATGTGCCTTTTAGGGAGTTAGAGCCCCCTCACGTTTTATGGAGTGATGTTGCCTGGGAAGCACACACGTGCCAGATCCTACATGCACACACATTTTTGTGGAGTGAAGATGAAAAGAGAGAGAGGGACAGGGGAATAAATAAATGGACCAATAGGACTGTTAAGTCTGGTGTTTCCATTATAATTACACATCTTTGTAAGTTTATGAAAACTTAACAAGACTTCTGGGTTGTGCAGTATTATTATTAGTGTATGGGTATTTTGCAATGCAAAGTTTCATGAATGGGAATATGTAGCTCAGTTCTGATGTTTTCTTCTCCATCATGGTAATTCTTCCATTTTACCCATCTTTCCATTCATCCTTGGGTCCGTCCACCATTCTTCAATCTATACACCCTTTATTTCATCCATTCCTCCGTTCATACGTCATCTCCAGGTTCTCTTCGTCAGGAGGTTCTTCAGCTGCAGCTGTCGGCTAAAGCCTCGCTGAAAGGTAACTCCTCTGACCCTTGACCCCTGACCTCAGCTCCACATCCTGCGCAAGGCTTGTCCAGCAGCTCTTGAACCTCACCACAGTGCATGTAGTAAACCTAGCAGCCACTCTCATGCTAAACTCAACGTGTCTTTTCCCCCGGCTGCACTGAAAAGTTTAACTCTTTCTCCCCCTCACACATATCCTGCCCAAACTGCACACTGTGTTGACTGACTGGCTGACTTTACCACAGTCCTAATGCATGTCCTGCTTGAACGTCATGAGTAGATGCCCCACCTTCGGATGTTTAAAAGACAAACATCACAGGACTATAAAGGAAGTTCATCCATATCTGACCTTCTCATCCCCCCGACCTCTTCACTTACAACTGGCTGCTAACATGTAGTCTTGCTTCGTCACAGTACACTCTGTGTGTTCTCTGCCAATAATTTGGTTGAAATCTCTCCGACTATCCTACCTCATTTTCTAACAAGTGCTGACTGACAGCAGAAAAGTTATTTTTATTATTATTATCTGTTACTTCATTTGTGAAGTTGTAGTGAGGCAACAAGCTGCTCGGTCCAAGTAAATGGTTTCTTATACAGCATTTACTACAGAACTGTTTATGGTGGAAGTTGGTATTTCCAAGACCTGGATTTATTCCAAGGCCTGTTTAAGGAATTATTCCAGGGTTGCAGTTTCAGAAGTCTGTTAATTGGATCTTTACTGCATGAAATTAGTGATGACAAGAATTAATAATGTCAAAAATATGGGTTTTGTTGTATAAGTTGCCTGACGGTCAGGAACGTGTTCCTCTGCAAAGTGCTTGTAGAGAGAAGATAGGTTAATTTAGTCCTGTATTTAAAGCTTGTGTGATCAGGTCATGCCAAGGGGACTCAAATGCTCCCACCCCTTTGGCTCAGAGTTCTGATTTGTCCGTCAGCAGAGCCTCTTCCTCAGGGACTGACTGACTGCCGGAGCTGGGCGAGTGATTGCTTTGTAAGCATAAAGTAGCAAAGAGGAGACGACACGTGAGCCGAGGCAGGGAGCTCACACTTGCCATAAGTGAGCTATGTGTGGGCAGGCCTGCGTGGGAAGGTGTGTAACTGTTTCTGTGTATGTAACCTGTACAGTGGCCGGGAGTTCAAGGATGATGACTGGGAAATTACTTACTGATACAGGCTCACAGGGCGTGTTATCTCCGCTGTGAACCGTAGCTTTGTGTGCAAGAGAGCCGCAGGCTGTTCTGTCAAAGATATGAGAATATTACATAAGGAAAGCAGAGTTGTCAGGGCTGCATTCTGGTTTAAATGCAGGTTTAAAGATGAAAAGCTATGAGGTTATGGCTTAATTGAATGAATGAATGTGTTTAACCTCTAAAAGACATTAGCACAGCAGCCCTCTGTTTGCGTAACAGCAGTGACAAACGAGACCAACCAACACCAACGCACACTGCAGAACAACGTAATCCAACTCTGGGCTAAAGAAAATAACTCTTGTACAAATGGTAATAAAAAATAACTCAAATAATTGTATTGTTTTGAAATGGTTTTATTATTTAAATTTAAATATCTGTTATTCTCCTTAACAGACGTATAGCAACACAGGCTGCTAATCATTAATGACAGTCTATTGGATTTCATGATTTAATCAATCAAAATTGAGTAGTAAGCTACTGAAATAGGACAAATGAATATTCATGGGTGGTTAATGACTGTGGCATGGGACTTGTGGGTGAGTGATTCATGCAGTCAGACCTTCAGCTCAGGAATCCTTTTGAATCAAGAATTAACTTTGTGACCCCAAGAATTGAAATCGAACAGTGAGATACTGAAAGATTCCCACCCCTACTTTAGATGCTTGGATATTTTACTCTGATCAAAGGCTCCCAGATATCAGCCATTTCCCCAGAAACAGCAACTTTTATGATTTCAAAGTAGGACTAGTAGGCTTTACTTTGTATTTACAGCTTGGCACTATGAGCACTTACACCCCCAGTTTTACAACTGACTGTAATATGCTGACACGTGTGAAGGTAGCTATTAATAGAAATGCATCATTGTGTCATTTCTGTACAGTACAGTTCTGGTATTGGGCAATTATCGAGTTGTTATCCAGTCAGCTTAACTAGGAAATATTTCACAAGCAGCAGACAACAATAAGATGTGTAGGGTTAAAGGTACAATGCCCAGACATTAGGTTTAACAAATGTTAGTGCTGCTATCAGCATTTTGCAATTTCAGGAGAATAGAGCCTTTAAATGACAGTCAGGTATGTGGTGGTAAATTTGTCAGCTACAGCAGAAATTCAGCAGCTTGGGGTTGAAGACTTCCACCCTGAATGCTTCACTTTTGCAGTTTAAAGAAGTCAGATGTCAAGTCAAATGAACTTTGGCCCAGTTTATTCTGTTTACACATTCTGAACTGCATTTAGTTTTTTATCTGGGATCTTCTTATTACCTGAGCTCAGGTGGAAACCAGTGAATGGTATCAGACGATGTGTTGTTAGAGTTGTCATATTTACTGTACGTGTGTTGTAGGCATTGAGCTTGCACCTAAAGCAGAGTGGAATGAACAGAATAACGGTGACCTCTGGGTTACCTGGACTGTCCTGGTTGACCTGAACACTCATACACACGCACAGTCTGACCATTCTGGATTGTACACACTGAATGAATGAATAAATGAATGGCCACTCTGGTCTCCAGTAATCCCACCAACAGTAGAAAGTCCTGAGCCAGCAAGAACCTGAGGGTTAGCTTAGCTTTGCTTGTCCGTCTCTTACCCCAGTTCAGGTTCTGCGTGACAAACCGCCCCACTCCTTCTCACACACGTGGTGCGTAAAATAATTAAAACACTGATTACAAAACGGTACTAATAAAACAGTTTTTACTAGTGGAACGTAGAAAATAAGAGGGCCCTGTCTAATTGAAATACCTTGTATTTTCTGCTATTTCTTGTCTTTATGTGAGAGAACATCAGCTCCTATGTGGGTGAGACTGATAATAAAACATGACGGCGGCATTTTGGAGATTGTGAGTGAGTGAGTGTGTTTGCGGGTCTGTGTCTAAGGAGGACTGGTGTACAGTTACTGACAAAGAAAGACAGCTGAGCGGACTACTGTCAGCTTTCCTAAACCTGCCATTAGTCACTGCAAGGAAATAGCCTCCAACCAAATTCTGGTTCATTTTGGGATGCTTCTTGTTAGTGTTTTTATTTCACCATCACAGTTAACCAGCTGTCATTTTGAGGCTCTTTAACATTTTATAGAAATACGTGTTGCTATGGCTGTTAAAACTTAGAATTGATTATTACCATTGACATTTAAATCTCTCTTATTAACAGAAACTGCTAGTTTCTAGGGAAGAAGTAACTGTTGCTCAACAACATTGTGGCTTCTTCTTTGGAAACTTAAGTATGTGTTGCTCATTATTTCCATTATTTGCTTTTTTTTTGTTAGTGTCCTAACAACTGCTGGTAGTGAGCTTCTCAGTCCTCAACGTGCCTGCCATGATTGAGATGCTCAGCATTGTCTACATCACCTTTTACCCAGCAAGTAAAAGACTTGTGTTTGTTAACTCGTATATATTTTTTTCCTTTCTTCCCTCGTCTCACTATTTTCTCTAGGTAGTAAAAATGGGGTGAAGGGAGAGTCGGGTGCCAGCGATGATGAGCTGATGTCTGATGTTCTCAGCCACTACAGCAGTGCCAGCGAAAGCACCTCTGTGCTGGAAGAGGGCACAGGTTTGTACATGAATGCAGATCATGCATACACACACTTTTTTTGCATAACAGCTAAGGTAACGTTTAATAGTGCGTTTTTATTCCTTTTAGCATTTTTTTGGGGTATGACATTAAAACTAACATTAACTAACAGAGTTTTTTTCCCCTTAAACTAAACATTAAATCTGTGTGTGTTGACTGGTCAAACACAGGAGGGGAGCAGGTGGATGAGCAGACTGCCCAGGAGGAAACAGAAGACAAACTCAAGCAGTGTATAGACAACCTGATGGATAAGAGGTGAGATGTTTTACATTTCTTGCTTTCGTCCAGTCACTATCAGTAACAAAAGAAGGAAATGTCAGCAATAAACAGGAAGACAAATGCAAAGTGATGATGCAATACCAGACGGTAATAGATATTCCAGGAAGTGATGTAACTAGAAAGTCTCATTTTCTGTCTCTCCCCTAATCTCTGTTTGTGTCTCTCTCAGCGCTAAGACACGTCTAGCAGGCCTCGAATCGTTGCGACAGGCCTTCTCCTCCAGAGTCCTGTACGACTTCCTGACAGAGAGACGCCTCACGGTCAGCGACTGCCTGGAAAGGAGCCTCAAAAAAGGTGAGACCAAACAGATCTCAGATGTAGAGTTAAATATGTTTCTGTTAACGGGGTGTTATTGTTCTGCATGTTTACTCAACGCTGCACATACAGTATAGGATGCTTTCTGCAGACTTATCATAAGTAGTTTCTGTATAACGTCACACAGAGATCATTAAAGTTTTGTCTTTCCTCAAGTGCTGGTGCAGAAAAGGTGTAATCCTCAAGGCGTGACAGAAATAAAGTCTAAAACAACTATTATTGATGAACAAATAGTAACTTTCTGTTCCCTCCAGGCAGCGGGGAGGAGCAGGCAGCGGCGGCCACAGTCTTCGCCCTGCTCTGTATTCAGCTGGGGGGTGGAGACGAGGCAGAGGAAGGCTTCAAGATGCTTCGCCCCATCCTCACCGCCATCCTGATTGACAACAGTGCCAGCATAGTAGCCCGCCAGAGTGTGAGTAATCATGTAAACTTTCTCTGATATTGTGCAAATCTTTGGATATGGTATTATCTTTTACTTACCAAAAACTCTTGGGGGGGGAAGACAACAAAAGCAGAAAATGAGACATAAAAAGAAAGTCAGCTCGGACATGAATGTGTGAATGCTGCATAGAAGTTAGTCATGTGGACTGCATCTTAAAACTCAGTCAGCAACGTGACAATAAAAGTTCCAGAACGACAACAGCAAATCCAAAAACATCTGGTTCAGCCAAGAGTTCACTGAGTGCAAAGTCTGCAATGCATTTCTCCCTCCCAGCTGGCCTCAGTCTCACCTCCATTGTTGTACCATAGTCAAGTGAGTCATAGCTCAGACATTCATTTAACAACATTAAAGGAAAATGCCACTTAAAAATATGTAACACATTGTGTGGTTGTGATTGGACTGTCCATATAATGGGAATTGCCCAGCCTGTCAAGGTTGTAGCTCTGATGTTTTAAGTGTCAAAGGCGCCCTCGTCAACTGCTGTTTTCAATCCACTGTGTTAATTTTGGAAACAAACAGAAGACCTAAAGACACAACATTAGCCACTGTTTAGGGGACTCTTGTGGACCACTCCCATCGTGTGACATTAACAGCAGCCATTTTGGAGACTCAGGGTTGGACACTGTGTCTGGAGGAACACATACAGGCCAATTGGACTGAGTGATATGCCTACAAATACACAGTATACAGTTTTTCCTTTTTAAATTTATTTACCACTTTAAAAATGTTCTAAACTGAAAACATTAATAAACCAGGACAGAAATATAATTTTAAGGTTGGCTTGGTTTTAAAAAAAAGATGGTCTTTTAATGTTAGCAAACTTTCTTTTTAATTAAATGTTTGGGTGTTTAAATTTTCTTGCATCTGTTTCCATCAGTGTGCCAGAGCGTTGGGGATGTGTTGTTACGTCTCTGCTGCTGAAGACGGAGAGGTGAGAACTACGTGCTCTCAATGGCTGAATCCATCATGACTCTCATAATTCTCAAAGTCTAGAGAAATATTGTGACCACAGGAAGTAGTTTAAATGTTAGTAGTTGGTTTACACATTGTTACCTACACAGCTAATGTATAAATATAAAAAAAATCTTACGGCCTGTGGGTCCAAGGCTCTAGTATCTTTTTGTATCTGGGATATTAAATCCCGATATGGCAACAGTTATCTTTACTGTTGTGCTGTTACATATTAACAGTTTTTTTTCTTTCTCATCCCTCATTGCATTTTCTCTCTCTTTTTCCCCTTATCATCACCACTGAACCCTCCCAGGATTTGATCAAGTCGTTGGCCCTTCTGGAAAGTGTGTTCATGTCTTCCTACCCGAACAGAGAAGGGACGCTCCCCACACCCAAGCCCGGCGGTCCAGGCCTCCACAGTGCCGCCCTGCAGGCCTGGTCGCTGCTTGTCACCCTTTGTCCTGCGTCTAGACTGACTGTACTGCTCGACCTGTGAGTGAAAAAAACAATCTGCCTCGTAGTAATTCTTCATTTGTGTCTGTTTTTGATTTTCATTTATTTCTTTAGTTCAGTAGTGTCGAGGGTGACATTTTGATAAATCATGCTGCCAGAGTAAAAGTCATCAAGAGTGATGAGCATTGTAACCAACAGTGACTCTCTCCCTGTCGCCCTCCTAGTCACCTCCCCAAACTGCAGGCTTGTCTGCAGAGCAGTGACGTCAACTACAGGATCGCAGTGGGAGAGACCATCGCCCTGCTGGTGGAGCTGGGACGAGATATAGAAGAGGTAAACGTACACGTGTAGACAATTGTGTACCTTTTGGGAGCAGGCACACTCAAATGGTGTGTGTACTCCTTTTACCACTATACCCATATCTAATTGTGTCGCTGGTGTGTGTAGGAATTCGAGGTGGAGGACAGCGAAACTCTGTGTCAGTGTCTTAAGAGTTTAGCCACAGACGGCAACAAGCACAGAGCCAAGAACGACAGGCGGAAACAACGCTCCATCTTCAGAGAGGTGCTACATTACATAGAGGTATGTTTTATAGCAATGATTATATTTGTTATTAATGCCCTTATCTTTGCTAGTTGTGTGAACATCACTGCGAAGGGTTTATTCTTCTCTCCATATGACTTTGACTTTGTCCCCTTTCTCCTGCAGAACGAGGACTTCACAGAGGAGAAGATCAGGTTTGGGGTGGAGAGTGTTTACATCGACAGCTGGATGAGGAGAAGAATCTACGATGCCTTCAAAGAGATCATGGAGTCCGGAGTCAGACACCACCTACAGGTCAGGAAAAAACCCACTGAAGCCAGTAGTGTACTTTACTTGTGTGTTCTTACTGGAGATGGGCACAACTAGGCAATTAAACATTGCTACCCTCGCTAGTCGGCAGCAGAAATACTAGTCAGTTACCAATTATTAATAATTTATTAACATACAACAAAGGTTAACTGTTGCATCTAAGATGTTACTCAGCCACCCACTACTATCTGGAGCTGCAGCCGTGGCAGGCAGGTTGTATGTAGGCTGTGTCAGAATAAACTGGTTTCTAAGCACTCGATTGGAGCAATGTGTAACCACATTCTGCACAGGCTTGTGGAGGTTAGCACTGCTAACACTAACCACACTCAGCAAACCAACACTGAGTGTTTTCTTACTTTTAGACTAGTCAACTAGTTTCCGCTTAATCGACAGGGTCATTTAGTTGGGAACAACTCTAGTTCCCACTGGAATAATGTTCGTGCCCCAGCAGCGCTGCATATGGCGTTGATTGCCGCAGTGTGTGCAAGCAGGCGGAAATAAGTTGTTCGCACAGCATGGTCGCGTCTTTAGGGTCTGCTATTTTCCCCTCACTTGTTTCTGGTCAGCAGTGTCAGTGATTGCTTTTGGGCCACATATATTTTTTGTTACTTCTGTAGAGTTATACTAGTTTCATTTTTACATGGACACCAACCAACTGAAGCTGGGTAAGAATACAGTTTTTTGCCCACAGAGTCAATTTCAGCAGTAGACTGTGAGCACAGCAAATGAAACGCACACAATAAACACACCTACATAGCACTACATGTGTGGGCGAATCCCACTGCCTCGCTATGAGATTTATTGTGAATAAATAAGCTGAGCAATAATGCACAAACACTCTAAAATGAGACATCCAGCATTTTAGCAAAGTGGCACCTGCCAAATGTAACCAACAATGGCACATTAGGAAGGAAATGCTAGAGGTTGTTGGTAGGGAACACGAGTTTACACTTCAATTGATTCAATTAAATTCTCCATATCTGGTTATTTGGATATGAACGTATTGTTAATTTTGGTGTGCGCTTTTTTTTTTGGTGCAGTTCAACCCACTACTGAGAGACATCTTTGGCCTCGGCCCTCCCCTCATCCTGGATGCTGCTGTCAAAGCCAACAAGATCTCTCGATTTGAAAAGGTAACGGCCTCTCTTCTGTCCCTGAATCTTAACCTTCACACTGGAACAATCTGACTTAAGAGAGTGTGATTGCATTTGTTCTGCATCCTTGTGAGCTGTTGCTGCTGCTGCTGCTGCAGTGAAAGCTACGAGTGCCACAAAATAAAATTTAAAAGTCCTTCCTGTGTGTTTACAGCCTGAGAAGTATAGATATTGCTGCACTCAGCTCTTCATCTTTTTTCTTCAACAGCATCTTTTTAACTCGGCTGCCTTCAAGGCCAGGACTAAACAGAGGAACAAAGTCAGGGACAAACGGGCCGACGTCATGTGAGAGAGGGACGAGGATGGAGTGAATGAATAAGTAAGCGAGGACCTCCCTGGCCTATATTGAGATGGATACAAAAACATGCCTTTGACGCTTCAGCTGTCTCTCTCACACACACACACACACACACACACACACACACACACACACACACACACACACACACACACACACACACACACACACACACACACACACACACACACACACACACACAAACAAACACACACACAAAGACTCAATAAACTCTGAACAGGGCTTTTTCACTTGTGCTCTTCTGCAAGTTAATTCTACAAGATTCAAGATGGCCAACACTTTTATAGCTCCCACAGGCTAAGGCAGTCTGAGGCTGAGGAACAATTGCCCTGTTCCTCCTGGCAGGCATATGCTTTTCACTTATTTTGGACACAAACAGGATTTAATTACAACAGTTGCTCAGAGTATTTCCTAAATACAAGTCAATGCCTCAGTGGATACCAAAAATGCTAAACCTCTTTTATGTGGGATTAGATTGACTAGAGTAAAGTTTCTGTGCACACAAGCAATGTGATCTTCAGATATCGAAAAAGTATTTTTTATTAATTTTTATCAATAAAAGTACAGAGAAAGTAAAGTACTAAGTCTCATTGTAGGAGTCGATTTTTAAAGCTTTATGGTACATTTGAGATCAGTGAAAGCCTTCCAATGTTACACTCACTGAAACCCTCTGGTGCTAATGAGTGTTGTTTTTCATTCATTCTTACTTCAGTTTCCACATAAAGACACTTTTCCTGGACATAACCAGTCCTGGTTAATCTCTGATGTTTAATGTTGGAGCATCAACTAATGCAAAAAAAAAAAAAAAGCCACTGAAATATTGTGGAAAAACCCTCCTCTACTCTGGGCTGACAACCTCGTTATTCCCCTCCGTCGTCCTCTGTTTCTGCACCCAGAGTGGCTGCTTCAGCTGCCAAACCACAAACTGACTTCACAAACAATGCAACCTAAAAGAAAATGTGTGTGGTGTTTTGCGTGAGAGTGTGTTTTATTTGAATTTTATTAAACATCATGAAATAAAACACAACCTATAAACAGGAAGATGCCTAATTAAAATATGAAATCAAAGAGTTAATATTGACATCTTTGTATTACTTTTTTTTTTTTTGAGAGCAAAAATACGTTTTAACCATTTCTGGTGGAGAATTGTATTTTACTTTCTAATTTATTATAACAGCAGTACTGTGTGATTTTTAGGAAATTTACAATGTTAAGAACTGTTTACAGACATAATTATGGGATGAAAATGAAAAGAGTTTTTTTCATGTATATTTTTAATGCGGGTTGGTGGGTCACACTATCTATCCATGTGTATGTGCTGCAGACTGTATATAGGGAGTCATGGTAAAATGTGTACTTGAATCATTAGATGCATTTGAATGATTTCCCCTCTGATGAGCAGTATACGCACACAGGCCACTAACCAGAGCTGCTGATCAGAAGAGTTTGGTGGTGCCGTTTGTAACGGAGGTCAGGCCAGCAGCTAAAATTCAGTGTGCTGCTGATTGTAGTAGCAGTATTGACATTTTTAGTGTTTTTTATCATATAGAATTTTAAAAGGACACTAATTAGCTGCCTGGAAATTTCTGTACCTTGGTGAAAACTTCTCATCAGCTTTCACAGTTTCCTGCAACCTCCCATGTTACAGCTTCACTAAACTGTCTCATCAGTGATTCTGGTGTTACAGCACATGGACAGAAGATGGATCAAATGAAATAAAGATTATTTGAGCACTTTCTTTGTCTCTTTTGTAATTCCCAAAAAAGTTAGTTCTTGAACGAGATGTAGTTGTTTCTGTCTAGACTAGATTTAGGGAACAGCAGATCAGCTGGGAAAATAGATGTTAATACACATTGTGAATTTAATGGGATAGTTATTTAGGATAGAGAATAATCTGACTTTACTACTGTAATGACTACTATTATAATCTGACGTGACAAAATTTACTATGAACTGCTTTTCTTTTTAATATATCTAAGTTTAGTTCAGCAGTAGTTAGAAAGATTTAAGAATTATTATGAACAATTAACATTTACATTTTCAAACCCAGGTGAAAGGATACAATGATCTCATTTACGCTGTCTTTCAGGCTCACAAGGAAACATAAATCAACACCTCATTGTTGCTGTGAATGTTTATTATATATATATTATATACTCTATAATTTAGACAATCCCTTAAACATATGCTGCCCACCATACAGTTTGAGTTTATGAATATTAATGTAAATATTAACTTATGAAATGTCCCCCCCCCCCCATACATCTGGAGAGCAACTATACTAGGAACCCACAGAAGAGGAAACATAGACATAAGGAACGTACATTAAACTTCTGATAGTAAACAACTAATAAATAAACTGCATCAGTAGTAAATACCGTAGTTAGGAACTAAAATCACAAAATCCAGATTGGTAAACATTATAATCCTCTGCTGCCCCCTTGCGGTCACTTTCCTCCTCTACACCTCCCCCCCACAAACTGAACCACAGTGGTATCGTCCATTCATGAATTCAACATGGAGTCGCTTGGTGCTGCGAAAATCATTGTTGTGAAATGTTGAATCAAGTCCAGAAGAGACGATAAAACCATTCACAGACTAACGTATACGCCCAATGAACGGTACCGGAGGAAAAGCGACGCTGAGGACTGTGTGAACCCTGCGCGCGGCCGCTAACGGGACCCGGTGTAACGTTACTGCTTGATGCATGAGTTTGCACTTGAGCTGCTAGCGTTGGACCGTGTGACAGCCTGGTGACTTAAATGTGAGCTCTCTCTCTCTCTGTGTGTGTGTGTATGTATGTGTGTGTGTCAGCAGACACAGATGGACCATTCCGGACAAATCACCGGGGTGTACGGGGAGGTCAGCTGCCTCCCTACGCCTGTTTCTGCCCATGTGAGTGAGGAGCAGCTCCCCGAGCTCCGGATCTACACTGTGGCCACAGGTGAGCTGCTGCAGACACACCCACTGGCTGCACAGTGCTGCACATTGTCGCCGATGAGCCTGCAAACCATTTGCAAAGCAGTAAACGTGCATGTCAGCATTGGTTTGTTCTGCATTATCACACAGCAATGATGGAGCTTCAGTGGATGCATTACAACTCAACTCAAGCAAATTCAAACTGTTAACTAAACTAAACTAAACTAAATGTGTTGTTTAACAGTCTGGATGTGAATGAGAACCACAAATAAATGAAGACAAGTCCTGTAAAGGACACGTGATTTGTAGTTAAGGAGATAAAACATAAAAGCATGGTGCTGTTATTTTGTCTAACTTGAATAGACAATAGTATAAACTAAATGTTTCTAATTCAAAGTCTGAATTGTCTTTATATATGAGATACACCATACCAATCTGTAATGCAGTGCAATTACACAAGGACCCCCCACAGTGTACTGAAAGGAAGAAACAACACAGTGGTTGATTTTACTGTTCTTTGAGCCTTACCAGCAGTGTCCTGAGGGTGGAGTCATTAAGTGTAAGTTAATGTCAACTTGCCCAACAGACAGTGTGAAAAGCTGACCATCTGCACTGATGATGGCACAGGAGGAAAACTCTACATCTTTATTATCTGGGGAATATGAGTGTCCACAGTAAACATCTGTGAAATATTGCCATGCGTTTGAGTGTGTTTAATGTTGTTCATATGTCCATTCAAACGGCCATGTGAACAACTGAAAGTGATGGAAGGTCAAATGTCATGACCCATAGTTATTAGCCTGAATCAGCAGAAAACAAAACAGTCCATCTGGGAGTGAGTGTCTGCAATTGTTTGGATGCCGTGACAACCTGCTGGTCAAAGGCGCTCTGGGACTGACACCAGTGATCTTGACTTAAGGGTTTAAAAAGGTTTACAGGGTAAATCCATCTGTCTGCAAGAATACACCAATCAGCCATCACATTAAGACCCCTGACAGGTGAAGTGAATTACACTGATTATCTGGTTATCATGGCTGCTGTCAGTGGGTGGGGTATATGAGGCAGCAAGTGAACATTTTAGTTAAAGGAAGACGAGCTACTGTAGCTCAAACTGCTGAAACAGTTAATGCTGGTTCTGATAGAAAGGTGTCAGAACACACAGTGCATCACAGTTTGTTGGTATGGGACTGCATAATATATGACCACCAGGGTGCCCAGGTGGTCATAATGTTATGGCTGATCGGTGTATGTTCAACCTGACTGTTGCTTACTGAATATTGTATAGTACATTGGACTGGGGTTGAGGGAAGGACACCTAAATGGCTGTTTAAATGGTCTTGGCCTAACATAAATAACATACAACATTACATGATGTTATGACATAAAACATTTTCTCAATTTATGTTTTTTTTTTTAAGAGTTGTCTTTAAGAAATGTCAGAGGTGAGAAATTTTAAAGTTGAACCATGAAAATTATAATCAAAGATGACAGTGACAATAAGTTTAGCATTAAATTGAACATTACTGGAAGTTTAATTACTCATAATAATAACTCTAGAGTACTGCACAACACAAATATACTGTATCATCAACTTGTACAGATTTGGATGATTTAAATAATGACGCGTCTCTTTTTTTGAACCCAACGTTTGAAAACCTCTCACTGTGTTCCCACATCTAAGAGTGGAGTCAGGGCGACCTGGTCCGAGGCTCCAGACTTCGCTACTCGCAGCAGTGGACACTGATCAGAGACAGCAACGAGCACAAGAGCATCAGGACCGTCCTCCCACCAGGACCCTGTGTACCTGTGTCTAGAGAGTGAGTACACGCACACACACACACGCATGCATGCATTAAACAGAATCCTCTTAAATGTCACTGAGATCTCTATCTAAACCTAAATCTTCCCATTTTGGGGTTCAAGTTCTTTAACTTGTCACTTAGCTGCAGTGTGACATCACTGTGGGTGTGGTTACAGACTGATAACCAGACAACATTGCTTTTTTTTAGCCTTGTCTTCACTTCCTCTTTAAGAGTCTTTATTCCTCTTCTGTTCTTCAGGTTACTCAGTGGACTCTCTCCCATTCGCAGCCTGAGGGCCGTTGTCAGGGAAACCGTTGGCCACCAGCTCCTAGAGGTGAGAAAAACAGTTAATTATTGTTTCCTGTATCAATGTGCGAGCATTTTGACAGACTGTTGTTAATGGTTGCTGCTGTCCAGATATGGGACCAGCACTGCCTCAGGAAATGCCTCAACCTGACTGCTCTCAACAAACACGGCAGAGTGTACGATGACGGTATGATGCACATTTCATGTTTTTACACGTGTTTTTTCTTGTTTCCCCAAACAAGAAAGAAATCTGACATATCATCACCCAGAAATAGCTGAACGTCACTGACCCAGTCACATGTAGTGAAACCTATAGTATGTTCCACTTTTGTGACAATTGTGGGCTATTGTGGCCTTTAATGGTTGGGTGTTAATGTAGCTATATAAACACTTATTGGTGTGTGTGTATGTTTGTGTGTTTCCAGCCCAGTTTGGCTGTCTGTCATGGTCAGAGTGTGAGAACAAACTGCTGTATGTAGCCGAGAAGAGCACACATGATGAGGAGTCTGCATGCAGGACGGTATTACAGACAGACACACACACACACACACACACACACACACACACACACACACACAAAAAAAACAGAAGATTACCAAGTCAGTATCTACACAGAGACGTGTTTTTATGTACAAAATGTGTTTCACTTGTTTTTCTGGGTGCAAACAGGACAGGAGTGTGTACTGTGAAGACTGGGGCGAGGCTCTGACCAATAAAAGCGTTCCAGTGATGTGTGTGGTGAATATGCAGAGCGGCTCTGTCAGCGTGCTGCAGGGCGTCCCGCCTGACGTCTCACCTGGACAGGTGAGGACAGAGAGGCTTGCAGCTTCATCAGACACATCAGGAAATGTTTGTTAGTGTGTGGAGGTCAGGTGTTCAGTGTCCCAGTGTGGCTTTAATAATACTGATACAAACAGTAGGATGTACTCTTGCCTTTTGCACATGCTAATATTCAATGTTTTTCTGTATTCTTGTATCTGTGTGTTTGTGTTGTTTTCCTCCAGGCTTTGTGGGCTCCCGGCAGTCAGTCTGTGTTTTTTGTTGGTTGGTACCACGAACCCTTCAGACTTGGACTGAAGTATTGCTCCAACCGCAGGTTAGATAACTGCTTTGTTTTCTGACTCAGTCTGAGTCAGAAAAACAGCAGCAGCAGCAACTGACACACTGAAATAAACAAAGTCAAGTTAAGTTTATGTATACAGCTGGAAATCACAAGGTTTTGACATCAAAGTAATAAAAAAGTCATGGGCAAATCAAGTTTCAGGGAAAATAAAATTGAAATTATATTTTTAAAGACATACTCAAATTATATTTAACGTAATCAAAATTGAGATTCTTTCGCAGGATTACAGTTTTAAGTTACATCAGTTTTTCTTGAAAAATACCCTGGGCAGAGGTCACATGTTTGATGCTTAAAATCTTTCCATTTTCCATTTCTTCCATCTTCACTTTCTTTATTGCTACATGGTCCTGTTGTCTAAGAGAATACACTTGCAACAATACTTCTTTTACATTACATTTATTTTCTCTTAAATTAATCCAAAAGCAACAGAAAGTAATCAAGTTACTTTACTTTAATATTGTGATACTTGGATTGGGTTACTGACTACATTATTACACTAATTGCTACAGGTAATTAGTAACTGTATTGGATTACATTTTTAAAGTAACCCTGAACGAACTGTATATAAAAGCACTACCACTGATTATATTTACATAACATGAGTCAATGATCATTGTCATCACTGTCTAACTTTCTTGTGTATAAGATATGTTGAATTGAAACTTAAAAGGAAAATGGAAAACAGCAGCGACTGAGCAGAAAGAGCCGAAACCTTGTTTTTGTTTCCAGGCACCAATAGAACATTTAGCCCACTGAGTTATGTAACAGTATAGTTTATTTGTAGAGCAGGCCTCAAACTAAACAGTGGAAATTACAGTTTTCAGTTTCATTTTGTGTCTTTCTCATAAAATTCTCTTTCAGGTCAGCGTTATTCAAGCTCGACCTGGATGGGAACTGTGGTGAGCACATTGTCTTTGTCTCCTTGTTAATGAACCCAACACACACACACACCACACTCTCTCCGCTCTGCTCATCTGATCCCTGTGTATCCTCCTCCCTCCAAACCAGAGAGTCTGTCTGGGGACAACCTGTCTGTGTCCTGTCCCAGGCTGAGTCCAGACGGGTCCACGCTGATCTACCAGCAGGGTCAAGTGTTTGGTCCTCACAGCCAGTGCCTCAGTCTGCAGCAGGTATAGTGTGTGTGTGTGTGTGTGTGTGTGTGTGTGTGTGTGTGTGTGTGTGTGTGTGTGTGTGTGTGTGTGTGTGTGTGTGTGTGTGTGTGTGTGTGTGTGTGTGTGTGTGTGTTTTCCTTCTGTTAATAGTGTCTGTCAATCCTCCACAGTTGGACCTGAAGAGCGGGAAGACGTCCACACTGTTGGATGTTGTCAACAGACCGCATACTGGTACGTTGCATTCTGTTGGCTTTTAGCCACAGTAGTAATGCACATTTCCAAATCGGCACCTTCTTTTCATGTGGTCAGTCTTGAACTAAACAAACTAAACGAGCAACAAAGTTCCAATAAAATATAAGAAGCTTTTTACAGGATTATAGAGCTAATCCAGGGAGCGTGAGAGAGCTCTGTGGAAGACCAGACTTAAAAATATAAGAAATGAAAATGTAAAAAGGTAATTCTCTCTGTCTCAGGTGAGTTTGCAGGTGTGTATGAAGCTCTACCGCCCTGCTGCTGGTCTGCAGACAGTCAGAGAGTGGTGTTCAGCAGCGCCCGCAGAAACTGGAAGGTAACAACCACGTATTAAAGGAATAGCTTGAAATCACTGATGTCTTTTGTGTAATTCGTACATAAGCCAAAATGTAAGAACTACAACTTATCAGTAGAGCTTTGGAGGCGCTGGAAGCTGGATTTTGTGACATTTCGACAGAGCCAGGCTAGCTGTTTCCCTTTGCTTCCAGTCTTTATGCTAAGCTAAGCTAATCAACTCCTGGCTTAATACACTGATATGAGAGTGGTTCTGATCCTCTCTCTCTCTCTCTCTGTCTCTCTCACTCTCTCTCTCAGGATCTCTTTATGGTCGACAGAAGATCAAACAAAGTTACCTCCCTCTCTGATAGTAAGAGCCCATCCTCTCCTCCACCTCCTCCTCCTCTCTCTCTTCTGTCCACATCTCCATCTCTGTCTTTCCCTCCTCCTCCTCCTCCTTCATCTTTCTCATCTTTCTCATCTTTCTCTCATCCTCCCCTCTCTCCTCTGCTTCCACCTCCTCCTTCCCCCTTTTGGCCTCCCCATCCTCCCCCATCTCCTGCTTTTCTTCCTGCCCCTCACTTTCCTCCCCCTCCCCCTGCTGTCCCTCTGCCATCTCCTCTTCCTCCTACTCCCCTGTCCCCTCTTCTTCCACCTCCCCCTTCTCCTTTTCATCCACTTTCAGGTCCTCCCCCTTCTTACTCTCACCTTCCTCCTCCTCCTCCTACTTCCCCTTCTCCTCCTCCAGATCCTCTTCCTGATCCTCCTCCCCTCCTTCCTCCTCCTCCTCCTCCTCCACCCACTCATCTTCATCATCAGGAACACAAGCGAGAACAGGAAGGTACGACAAGACCAACAGGTTTTAATGTTGCCACCAACATCCTATTGGGGAATTTCAAAATAAAAGTCTAAAATTGCAAAACCAACACAGGAGCACACAATGAGCGCCAAAGATGACACAAAATTAAAGACAAATGTATACATTACCACATATCATCACAATAGTGTTGAGATTTATATTTTAAGAAGTGCTCAAATTAAGGTTTTATTGCAAGAGCTGAATGTTGCTGGCACTCTACAAAATAATTATTTTAAATTTCAAATTCATCTTTGCATACACAAGGGTATATCATTTCAAAACCCCTTTAAAAACTTTCACCAGACCTTTATGTCTGTGTTTGTTTCCCTTCTATCATATCACTTCTTTCTTTCTCTTTACTCCGGTCTCTGTGTTGCCTCCCCTCCTCTGCAGGTCTCTTTGATCTGCCCAAACTTTTTGGCAGCTGGAAGCTGCTCACAGTTCAGAAGGACCTGATGGTTGTCTGCTGCTCCAGCCCCAACACACCTCCCACTCTGGTCAGACAGCACACACACACACACACACACACACACACACACACACACACACACACACACACACACACACACACACAGGCGCATGAGAGACACAACACCAAGCACTATGCTAAAATACTGTTTATGGCATTGTTAAACAAGATTGGTTTGATGAAAATGTTATTTACTTGCAATGTCTTTGTGTTGTGGACTATGTTCGTGTGTATGTGTGCATGCGCAGAGGGTGGGTTTCCTTCCTTCAGCAGGTGAGGCTGTGACCTGGCAAACCCTGCAGCAGCCAATCATGACCTTTGACTTCCACTGGACAGTTCTAGATGTTACACCTCCACAAGACGAGGACAACACACACTACTGTGAGCATGAGACACACACACACACACACACACACACACACACACACACACACACACACACACACAGTCCAAATGATGATGATGAGTCACTTCTATCCAACTTGTTGTGATATCAAGCTCTGTTATTCTTACTTTTTGTCACTATCATCAGCTGGTTTAGACTTTGGGGCTGTGCTGGTTAAACCGTCTCGTCTCCTCCATGAAGCCAAGATACCTCTGGTCGTCTTCATCCATGGTCTGTGTTTACTTCACTTATTTGTATGGTTGCTGTATTTCTCCTAATAGGATGGGAACATATTGAAACATTTCTTGATTTATTTATATAATGATGTGATGTTTGTTTGCTCCCCCAGGTGGCCCCCACTCCCAGTTCCCAGCAGAGTGGAACACCACCACAGCTGGACTGGCTAAACTCGGCTTCGCTGTGCTCATGGGTAAGACGCCTCTGTTTCTGTCAGACACACACTCACATGCAGCATACACAAACTCTAGCGCACTAAAATAATTAGTTTGACATTTTGTCAACCACCAGCTGGCTAGCTTAGCTTTAGCTCAGTGATTAGCTCCATATTTGGCACACAGACATAAGAGGGGTATTGATCTTCTCGTCTAACTCTTGGCAAGAAAGCCAATAAGCATACTTCCCAAAAAGTCGAACTATTCCTTTAATTTGTAACGTACATATGCACATATGCGTTTTAACTTGGACTCATCATTTTTGTTTAAAAATCTGTGTCTTTAGTTTTTAATCATTACATCCATGTGTAAATCTGTTTAAAATATATATATATATTTTCAGAAAAAACACTGTGGTTCCGCTGTTATGTTACTTTTAATTTTACCTTACGTTTTATTAATTTTGTCTCCATTTGTTCTCATAGTTTTCTATTACCAGAAGAATAGTGTATATATAGAGAGTATATATTAAATACGTGTGAAAAGCAATTTCATCCAATCTGTATTTTTTCTTTTACAAATAAAAGGGTGGAAACCACTAAAAAAAAAAAAGCCTCTAAAGTCACATTATCAAAAGTTTTTCCATTTCTCTTTGGATTTTTTTGAATTTTGGATTCTTTCTCCCTCCTGTGTCTCTCTACCTAGTGAACTACAGAGGATCCACCGGGTTTGGCCAGGACAGCATTTTGTCCCTAATCGGTCAGATCGGAAGCCAGGATGTGAAAGATGTGCAGGTACCGGCTCACACACAGTCCTTGAGTCCTCGGAGAAAAACAAAAATCTGTGAAATATAGAATCTCAGGACTGGAGTTGCAATGATTAGGGAGGAAAAGGGGCTGAACATGATTTGATCTGAGTGTCTTTACCCAGAGGGCCGTGCTTACTGTGCTGCGGATGGACAACACCCTTGACCCCAAACGCTTGGCTGTGATTGGTGGTTCTCATGGAGGTTTCCTATCTTGTCATCTGGTCGGTCAGTACCCAGAGTTCTACAAAGCGTGTGCGGCCAGGAACCCTGTCATTAATGCTGCTACGTTATTGGGCACCAGTGACATAGTAGACTGGTGAGACACATGCACGTACACTTGTCCACACACTCCAACAAACACATCCAGACAACTTTAAAGTTTCTTATCCTCTCTATGTGTCCCCAGGCGTTACACCAGTGTGGGGTTTCAGTACTCATATGACCAGATACCCACTGCTGAAGCCCTGGCTGCTATGTTAGAGAAGTCCCCCATCAGACATGCTGCTCAGGTCAGACACATGTAGACTTCAATTATCATAATATAATTAATCATAATGTACAATCATAATGGCCCTAGAGCAAAGAAGAAATGGTTCATAAAGAAAAATGTAAATGTACCATTTTATTTGTTTTAAGAAAACAAAAAACTACAGAAACTTCAAAATCTAAAGAAACTGCCATGAAATCAAGTGTGTGTTGGTACAGTGTATTTATCTGTGTGTTTGTTTGTAGATTAAGGCTCCAGTGCTGCTGATGCTGGGGGGCAGAGACAAGCGAGTGTCTCCTCACCAGGGTCTGGAGCTCTATAAAGCACTGAAGAGCAGAGCTTTGCCTGTCAGGTACAACAGAGAAGACATTAAATATATCCATTTAAAAAAACTCCATCAATGATCCAACATAACAGCCTACGGCAGAGGTTTTAATTCAGCTCAGGCATTCTTGTAATCTTTTCAACACTCTGTATGTCATCAAGACTAATAATAGTGATTATCAGGACTGATATTAAGCTTTGCCCATCGTTCTGTTTGTCCATCCAGATTGCTGTGGTTTCCAGAAGACGGACATTCTCTGTCCAGGGTGGACACACAGGTTGACTGCTTCCTCAACACAGTGCTGTGGCTGCAGCAGCATCTCTGAACATACACACAACAACTGTGATGATGAACAATCTTGAACACACCACTGCCTTTTTAACAACAACAAACACATTCTACATGTTACAATGTACCTGATTTTGTAAAAACATTTCAAAGAAAATTTTACAAACCTATATTCAATATAGTTTGTCATGTTTGGTTCCTCAATGCTGCATGTAAAGTGTCCCAAACTATTGTCACATTTATAACAACTGATTAAAAAAACTCATTATACTAGTCCTCATTCATCTGCCAAGATCAGTACTTAATTTTAAGCTGGATGAGACTGAGTTCCGTCTGCAGTCTTGCAATATTTTCCTTATATATATCTCCATAATTATCATACACAGTAAATGTAGTGCACACAATGTCCAACAGATGGCAGCCTCTGCCTTTCATAACACTTTTCCTTTTCTCGAACCATTTATTCCATTAAAAATTAAACCTTTTATCTGACCAACGTTATAATATGTATATGTAGCTGTTAGATTTAGATAAATATATAATATATAAGACCAGTGTGACCTTCCTGGTGGCCATATCACTCACTTTCCCATCAAAGAGATCCAGAGTTCAAAGTGTAACTTAAACAGCCACATTTCAAAAAGTGACATCTGAAGCCTTGTAACCACCCAGACCCACTACAGAGCTGTAAACCACCCAAACCAGTAGAAACCTCATCTGGAGTCTTTTATTGAGGTTCTTGACCACCTTCCTCATAGTGCTGCCCAAACAAATAATCTACTCTAACCCTTCAACCAAGATCTGACAAAGCAATCCCTTCCTGTCTCTCTCCCTCAGGTCTGCATTTCTTGTCATGGCGATCAGCTCTTGAGAAACATAACTGTCTCTTTTGCTTACTAGATATTTACATGTCCTCACCATACACTTGTCTACCTCATCTTCTCTACATTTGACACTGGACAGGTCTTTTACCCCCATTTCTGTGTTTCTTGTCAAACATAAGGCTACACACAAATTCTAAGGTCAACATTACAGATTTGAATTCTCGACCTCTCAGCAAACCAACCACCCATGCAAACTCCAACTCAGATCTCAAAGCTGTATTGTCACAAACAAACAGAGTCCTTGTTAAAAGAATACAGACAAAATGGGAAGACATCTGAGACATGGGGCAAGAGATGAGGCTTGATAGCGGCCTTGAACAGTCCCACCACTTTCCTTTACCAGACAACACAAGTGGGCATTCGCTCAGTCAATACTGGCGACAAATTAAGTTAAACAGATGCAGATTTTGAAAGATTAAATGCCCGAGATGACACACAGAGGTGGTTGATGTCTTCCAGAAGTTTCCTCTCAGCAGTCTCACCCTGGTGTCCCAGACATAGCGGTGGTGTTAATTGTCCCCTCCACCAACACTTTTGCTCTGTGGCCTTGACTGCAGCTGCCGCCTGATGAAGTCACTGTAATGTGGGTGTTGGGTGAGGTCACCAATTTGAAAGATGGAGGGAGAAAAGGATGGAGATTGAGAAAGAGAGAGAGAGAGAGAAAGGGAGACTGTTGAAGAGGAAGTGACATAAAGAAAAGAGGAATGAGACAGAGTTGACTGGTTGTTGGAGACAATGAATAAGCCAGATAGAGGGAGAAGTTCATGGCGCCCCGTTGTGGTATTCTGGTGTGTGGGCCAGGGCAAAGAGATGAAGCATTGTTGAAAGCTGAAGACAGGGGATGGACTCATGCTCATGCTGGGTGTATGTAGGAGGTAGACAGACAAAGGGAGGAGAAGAGTGCAAGTGTGCTTTCTGATGCTGGGGGACAAAGAGCCTTTTGGAGTTGGTTTGTTCTGGTGCTTCCCCTCTCCAGCCGGCTGCAAAGAAAGACGGAGAAAAGTAGAGCAGAGGACGGTGGAAAATAGCTGAACAGAACAGGTCAGGGGAGAGCAAGGTTGGGTTACATTGTCCTACAGACAGATGCCAGTGAGTGAAGGCTTCATTTCCTAGGGAGCATGAATTCACTCACCAAATGTCATGGTAAATCTTCCTATTAGAGGACATTTTGGCCTGAGGATGGAGCTAGAGGGGAGTTCATGGAACGTGCAAATGGAAAGTGTTTAATCTTTGAGCGAAATGAATGAGCCTGGAACATTTTATGGCAATCTGCAAATTAGATTTTAATTCTTCTTCATTTTCAAACGAGTGGAAACGTTGTCCTGATGTTGGTGCAGTCACCAAAAACATCATCCTCTACTACCATTTAGTGCTATAAATAACTATTAATCATTCATTGGCAGTCTTGCAAGTGCTTTGGATCAAATTGTTATCTCCCTTGGATAAAGTTTGACATTTTGGAAAATAAATTTTCTTGCCAAGAGTTAGTTTGGAAGATTGACGCCACAAGTCTGTATGCCAAGTATGAAGCTACTACCAGCAGCTGGTTAGCTTAGCTTAGCACAAAGACTGGAAATTGGGAAGCATTTAGCTTGGCTGTGTCCAAACGTAACAAAATATGACCACCTCTAAAGTAGCAAGTATCATCTTGGTTGTTTAATCCGTCCAAATCGTCAAGTTATGTTTTTTTTCTTATGTTGGGTTCTGTGAAATTATCATTTCTTGCAGTAACTTCTTGGAGTGTCTGTTTGCTTGGCAAGCTGAGGGTGATGAGAAATCAGGTAGGTACATTCAGGCTAGCTCTTCCCCTCTGTTTCCAGTCTTTGTGCTAAGCTAAGCTAAATGGCTGCTGGCTATAGCTTCATATTTACCGTACATGAGAGTGATAGTGATCTCATTTAACTCTAAGCAAGAAAGCAAATGATCATATTTCACACACGTGTTCAAATTCACTGAAATGTCCTTAAAACAAATGTTCCCCAAAACCCTTACCAGGCTCATAGTCGAGTGTAGAGATGAAACATAAGATTTTGATTCTCCTGCTGTTTAGGAGACAAGAGATAGGATAAAAGGTTGCAGCTGTACACACTATTGATATTTAATCTGAAGAGTAATTTTGAGTAAGAAATAAATGGGTCCTGTCAATAGTGGACACCCGGTTCCAGTTCGTGCTCAAACCCACAGTAGAGAAGGTCTGGCTGTAATCCTTGACTGAGCTGTGTGCTGTCTTGAGGACATGGTCCTTAAAGACCTCTTCGTGTTACGAGATTGAGAAAGTAATGTACCGTACTGTAGGGAGTCCAATGTACTTTAAAGTCCAAACAATAAAGAAAAAAGTGCACAGTGTTTGACTGGAATGGGTTGAAATTGGATTTGGATAGGCTTTGAGGGCGTATGGCATGTTTTCAAGCTTTAAACTTCCATTTCCTGGTTAACAAATGTAAAAAGTTGGTTTTACAAGGCAAATAAATCAAATTCTCAACCATAAAGTTCCAACATCTGCATCTCTCCACACATCGTAATGGCAACTCAATTCCCAGCTTCTCATCAGAACTCTAGAGCCATGACCTTCACCTGTGGACGCTGGTTGAGTGCCAAGACATTACGTCTTCACATTCTTTTACAGTCTGACTTCACACCATTCATTAAAATGTGGCCCTTAGCTTCTCGTTCCTCGTTACATTTTCCCTTTGTCCCCCTCCTATGAACTCTCTTCCTGTGCTCCATCCTCATTATTTTCATTGTCTCCCTGTTTTTACCATGACACAGCATTTGTGTGTGTACACAGGGTTCATTCACAAGCTTGTGAACACAGGCCTTAACGGGGGAAGCAGCATTTTTACCATCTCCCTTTTGATTCACCCTTTGACTGGTAAAAGTTGTTTAAACAGCGAGGGCCCGGCTCAGGAAAGGATGGGACGTTACTTTATGCTGGTATACGTGTGCTGTGACCTTTCTCTGATCAATTCTTTCTCTTTCTCTCACTTCAGCTGTCTGTTTTTGGTAAACCTCCCTCTGTTTGCTGTGTTAAATGCTGATGAATCACAGCAGAACGTTGTGTTTGTCTCTGGGATTCACATGGTTTTACAGTGCAGCTGGTTGGGCCTATGATGGCTTTGGTTTAGTCATCTATAACAGGCGGAGCTATTGTCTATGCAGAGAGGAAGGGGAGGTGTGTTGGTGGTTATGAGAATTGTTGTAAAAGGCTTTGGGGTCTGGTTTGTGTCTGCTGGTTTGCTTTCAGGTTCTGTAGAGGTGTGTGTTAGCTATGTGCGCACCAATGTGGTGAAATCATACTTGTTTCCAGTGTGAATCAACTTGTTTCATAAATTTGGAATAATCAAAGTATTATGTTCCATCGGTGTGATCATTGACAGTATAACAAGCCGATTTGTATTGGAAACAGTGTGGAATAATTTATTACGCTGCCAGAATTATTCCCTTGTTTTAAGAAAAACAATGAATGTGTTTCCATCCATCTGTTTTCAGTGTTGGGGAGCAGTGAACTATATGTAATTAAACTAGTTTAACTACATTTCGCTGTAGCTTGCTGATAATTACATACATTTATATTTACATGATGATTTAAGTACTTAAATTACTTATCTGCCATTTTGGTACCATTAACTACTGAAACTACAAATAATTTTGGGCTAGGAAAAGAATCCTTTTTTATTTTCTATTTTACCTCACTCAGCTCACCTGTGAACAATATTTGGACATAGTTTTTAATGTTTTGAATCTTAATTTGTAAAAATAAACTTGAATATATTAGATATCAGTTAGTCATTAGTCAGGTGTTGAGCACATTTTCAGAATTTTTTTTCTATTTTATCTGTTACTCAGCTAGTATCATCCTTGGTGCACTACCCCACCTGGACTCTAGTGTCTGGAAGGCAAGTGTCTGACTGATGGGCAAACCAAAGCTTATTATGTATGAGCTGTGAACAAGTGGGCATTTTTTGCAGTATACTCAATTGAGTGGCATTTTATATTTTGTTACAATTTTATTTATATATATACATATTGGGGCAGCAGTAGCTCAGTGTGTAGGGACTTGGCTTGGGAACCGGAGGGTCGCCGGCTCAAGTCCCACAGACCACAAAAATGGCATGTGGACTGGTAGTTGGAGAGGTGCCAGCTTCACCTCCTGTGCACTGCTGAGGTGCCCTTGAGCAAGGCAACCTAACCCCAAAACCTGCTCATGGGGCACGGGTGCATTTCAGCCTGTGTGTGTGTGTGTGTGTGTGTGTGTGTGTGTGTGTGTGTGTGTATTAAAAAAAAGTGAAAAGAACAATTTCCCCTAGGGGATCAATAAAGTATATCTTCTTCTATAAAGATTTTTTTTAGAAAGTAGTTTGAACTACTTTTTCTAAATAGCTTTAGTTAACCAAAC